GGTTCCGAATGTAATAGAACGACGGACGGATACGAAGAGGGTGTATTAACGAGAAAGATGTATTTGCTACAGCATCAACATGTCCGAAAAACGAGCAAAACTCAATACACCGACTTCTACTTTCTCATCAAAGACTTCAAAGTCCGTCAACAGCAGCTAAAATTCGTGTCTCGCAAGCAAATGCAGCAAGAAGTGTGTATTTTAACTAGACCTAGAACAAAAAACGATGAGGTGACATTTTCCTCATCTGTGATTTTTAAAGGTATTTATTCCTCCACTTAGAAGGATACAAATCTAATAGTACGCCACCGATTTCTTAACAGTAATTCGATGAAAAAACAACTGTTGCTTTCGGTGTAGACCAGTGTGGTCTCTAAAAGCATTAATATAACAAAGATCGTAAATATTTTTAAAAAAGAAACTTGCTTCTACTTTGGTTCAACATTCAGCTTTTGTATGAAGAATTTCATTCTCCTATACCTCATGCTGTTGATAGAAACTGCCCACTGTTCATATACGCAAATTTTTCGACTTTCACAACGATATAAAAATGTTATAGGGGAAAATTCCTAAAGGAAGTCTCTCACACAAATAACTATACATGACTTTTAAAATACAACTTACAAAGCCTCTAAATCAAACTGGGATTACGATGATGAAAAGTGCTGTGCCTAGATGGTAGGTGCAAACACTACTGACAAGCCTCTGGTGAGTGCCCTCCGACGGAGGGTTACGAGGCGCAGGCGTCCAATCTCACAGAGCACTGAGGCGGAACGAAGCGGAATTTCGGCATGGCAACGCACGCGGTGAGTTTCAGCCTGAAGCGCCGACAATGGCCCATAATGAAATTACGATTTGGATGAGCAATTGGCGCGCTTGGTAATGCTGATGACCACGCAACGTAAGCTCCCTCTCCGGAGTTCCAGCAATGTTCATTTCGTGAATCTTCAGAATTATCTGCACTGGTCGATATCTCTCCACTGTGTTCTGCTTCTGAGAATTCCATGTAATATTTTTTCTTCCATTGACAAGCGAATACGAGGTTGTTACCAAACATTTATATGGCTGAGGCCAAAATTACCATAATTATTTCCAAGTGGAGGATTTCCAACCGGCTAAAATCACTCGCAAGTACGATTTTTCAACGCACTACAATTCCGCCGCTTGAGTAAAGTGAAATGAAAGGTACTAATTAGGTATGTGCAGACATCTACAATAACAGTCTGGGCATTCATCAAATCACCGTTGAAAAAACGAGTTGCCAAGCAGTACATTTCAGAAATGCGAGTTACTACGGAATGCTTAGGGAACTGCTGAATGCCTGCGCAGTAAACCTTTGCATCATTTTTACTGTATGAAATTGAAAAAGAATTGACCAATTTAAAAACTGTTCGAAAATGTTCCATCAAGTGGGATTCTCGCAACGGGACTCCGTCGAATAATGGAAGCGATCCCTGACTATCCACTGCAGAACATCAAATACACAAATCAAATCACATAGGCGAATTTTTTACCAAATGCGTCATTAGTATGGATAAAATAGCGAAATATCACGGATGAAAAATGGTTGGTTAGGTTTGCTAGAGCTGGTAGGTATAGAAACCGAAAACCGATCCAACATTAACGTGTTCGACACCACCAGTTCCACCTATCAGCTTTCTACAAATGTCGGCACAAAATTGAAAAGCGCTTTCCAAATGCTTTGGGATACTTTAAGTCTCTAAATTCTTATTTTTAAGTAAAAACTTTAGCTGAGAGACAGGCAAGACGAAAGACTCGGATGGTGTGGTGGTGAAGTGCGCTGCTCCCCGGTAAGGACAACAGCGCGTGTTCGTTCCCCACTGCATACACCTGCGGTCCGGAGTTTTGCAAATATCTCAGCATTTCATACGAAAAACTTTAACATTATGTTAGAGGTGTTGCCACGCTTCGGCCTGCAAACGTCTATCAAGACAACTAGTCATCCCAGCGTCAATCAGTTCAATTGTTTATCCTGAAAATATCGAAGTTTGTGCCAGTTTCCGTTAGAAGTAGTGTCATCAAGGAATAGCACAGTCCGTTTATAGAATCATTGTTACATTATTAAGCCACATAAGATTATTTGAACACTTAACTGGCTCATCGTCGCTAGTGGGGCCAACCTCGGCACGCAAATTCGTCTCTTTCTCAAGCATTCGTTATCCATGATGGCGATTTAGTTTGAACATGGTGACATCTGCGAGACACAGAATCTGCTTCGCTGCATAACAATAAAAGATTGATAACTGATAAGATAAAATGTATAGATTGAGAATGGAAGAACAATGGTAGAATGGATCCCTTTCCACTAAGATGAGAGCGTACATCAATGAGTATTCGGAGCTGCGAGTGATTTATACTACAGATGAAGCTTTGATAATCACAAACATTACCGGAAACGAATTGCAAGATGTTCCGGCTCGCACATGATTCGTGAATAGTTATCTAAATACTTTTAAACAACTTAACTAAAAGTGGTAAAATTTATGACACTTATTACATTCTTTCAATGTATTGGGTGATTAACACCGTCTGAAGACATGCTTAAGTGTGTAGTTTGCTTAAATGATTAAAGATCTCGGAATATATTAGACTTGAAGGAATAACCGGAGAATGGTTTAAATGTAAACAACTAGTCTGAAAAGTTTTAGATTAAGGCGGTAATCAGCTTTTCACACAGTCTTAAAGGAACCGATCAATTAACCTTATGGATCGCTGTCATCCTGAGAATGCCTTTATCGAAAAGCAGCAAAATTCTCTCAGATCCAGTCCTAGCAACCGCCTTTGCTGCCTACGTCGGAACACTTTTGCATGGCTAACTTGAGTTCGCTGGGAAAATTACGCTCCACCAGCACTCAGCATATCAATGAGAAATGTATGTGGATACGGACCACCTAAGGTCGCCAGTGACCACGAAGTAACCACGAAACACTCTGCAAAAATTGTAAAAGAGAAACTGAATCCTTAACTCTTCATTGATGGTCAACGTTCAATTAATTTCAGAGAAATAGAAACACAGTGTTGCAACAGATTTATAGGAGAAAGTGAAATTATGCAGAAAAAGATGGAAGCACGAATAAAGGACATTTTAGTTACCATAGTTACAAATGTTAGCCGAGCATTTGGCTTGTGATAGGACACCCAGTCGAACCTGTTACAGCCTCGAAAAACCAGATGCAGTGAATAATTTTGACGCTAATCTAATCTAATCTAATTAAAAAATAAAAATAATTCAACTAAAGCCACCGCTTAAATTGGCTCAATACCTATTTAGGCTCCCTAGATTAATCCCGTTGACGCATGATTGCTGATAGCACAGATCTATAGAACTAGTTGAGAGACAAGCGGAACGAAGGACCCGCATGGTGTGGTGGTGAATGCGTTACTCTCCGGAAAGCACAATAGCGCGCACCTTCTCCACCACAGACACCTACGGCCCGGAGTTTTGCCAATATTTCAGCATCATTACGGTTGTATTACCATCATAATTGTGATTGCGATTGCTTCTGTCGAAATAGAGTTCTGCCGTCTCACCGTGATAAATAGACTGAGTCGGGCACAGGAGTAAGTATATTAAATAAGATTGTATGAGCATTTTACCCAGTGCTTACCAGGATACTTAGAGTGATGCAAAAATTATTGCCTTTACCTTTTTTATTTACTGCCTACTACAATTTTTAATGGCAGGGTATGAAAATCATACCCTGCCGTTAAAAATTATAGTAGGCAGTAAATAAAAAGCGGTTAAGATTGTTATTTCGACTTCAGCCTCGGCTTAACTAGGTTCGTTGCCGATTTCGGTTTCCTAGATCAGTCCCCTTAACGAGTGATTGCTGATGACTGTGATCAACAGAACTAGCTGAGAGACAGGCGAAACGAAGGACCCGTATGGTGTGGTGGTGAACGCGTTACTCACCGGAAAAAACAATAGCGCGTTCGTTCCCACCGCAGTCACCTACGGCCCGGAGTTTTGCCAATATCTCAGCATTATCTTAGTTGTGTTATTGTCCTTATCAATTCTTTACCATTTCAACATCGTTGTGAAGCAACATTTGCTTACGACCTACAAGGCACAAAAGATGTTCCTCAAATACAGCGGTTTGGTGGTATTACCCGGACGCTCAAATAAGCGTGAACAATAATATGTCCTGGTAGCAACCTAACCGCAAGATGGTTTTTTATATTCGTTACAAGCTAACATAAGCTTAGATTATTACAGTACACATATGCTAGGTATGGGCGCGTATGGCGCAGTGGTCGGCGGTGCCCTGCAACACACCGATGGGCTCGATCTCCTTGCCTCTATCCCATCAAGCTTTCCATCCCTCCGGGGTTGGCAAATTAGTACCAGACTTGTCTGGGAGGATAGAAGCACTGGCTCGATACATTGGTAGACCACCGCGACTCATTGTAAAGGATAGATATGCAATCGATCATCTCCAAACGATGCTTAATGAAGTCGAATGCATGGCGCGTCCCTCAGAGATTGATTAACGCCGAAAGCTTTATCCTTTTTTACATGTGCTAAATATTGATGACGGCTCTTCTAGGTTCTAGCCTACAATATGGCTTTGATCCTCATTCTGCTTCAGCTGCAATTCATCCGACGCTTCAGCTTTTTGCTGTGAATTCTATAAGATCATCGTTAGCAACTGAGCAGCTCAATTCATAAAAAAGTACATGAATTGATTAGCAGTCAGTTCGATGTTTGATTGTCGGTAACTTCGTCATAACTTCATTCAACACAGTTCTAACTTGTCTAAATGGACACAAATGTTTCTTCAATGTTTCATAACGTTCTTTATTGTAAGGCGCCTTTGACCACTGTGTTACAGGTGCTACGACAAAGTTACAAAATATCACTTGTATCACCTGTAGTCCCGTTGGTCGCTGAGTGACTCGAGTGGGCACCAGTAAATTTTCCACTTTCCCCTGTCGCGTGCAAAAGTAGCCCAGTGGGTTCCGCCCGCTCTAGGGACTCGTCAAGCATCATATCTTTCTTCTAGGCTCTTCGTGAAGAACTCTGACCATCGGGTCGGTGGTCTTCCTGCAGTACGTTTGACATCCCGAAGAATCCAGTCACTAACGGCGCCTGTCCATCGGTTGTCACTCATAGGCATTACGTGTCCGGTCCATCTCACCTTCGACTGTTTGGCGTTCAGAACGGCATCTTTGATTTTTGATCGTTGGCGCAGATCGGAGCTTCGGATCTTATCCTTTACACGTGTGCAACGGGATACCGAGTCGTCAACCATATGCGACTGTAATCAGCTGTTCTAAACTTCCTCATTGGAAGTCACGGAAAAGCGGTTTTGAGGAAGGCGATACTGCCGAAACGTCAGCTAATGTTGTATTGTATTGTGTTTTTCTATGGAAGTAAATGTATGCTGTTTAAAAACCTCGCGATTGCTGAACAAGAAAACGACACATTCATATTCCAATGCCGAGGTTAATAGAAAGTCGATCCTGGGTACTCCTAGCATCATCGTCCTTCGACTGCGCGTTGGATTACGATGAGTGATCACTCATCCTGCTTAAGTAGCCATCATGTTTCTGACGCACACTTTAGGGCAGAAACTGCCGTTGAGTCGTAAAGGTGGGCACGGAGTCGGGAGTTCTTTGTTCTTTTCACTACATCCTCGATGCCCTTGAAAGCTCCCCAGGACGCTCGCTTTCTTTTGCTCAACTCTGGAGCTAAGTCATCCATCATACTGATTTTCCGATCTAGATAGACATAACTGGAGCATTCAGAGATATTCATGACGCTGAGAGTAAATGGAGCATGCGAAACCAATCCGCCCCTCATGAACATAGTTTCTGTGAGATTTAGTCGATGACCAATTTTTGCACATGCTTTGTCGAAGTCGGCAAGCATACGTTCCGCTTGGCTAATGTTTTTAATGTTTGATGTTATAAGAACGATGTCTTCAGCAAAGCGAAGATGGTGTAACTGCCGACCATCGATTTTCACTCCCATATTATCCCATTCCAGTGTTCGCATGACGTTTTGGAGTGTATCGGTAAATAATTTTGGCTAGATGGTACCGCCTCTCCTAACTCCTCTTTTGACGTCGATGTTAATATCGTTGTCGAAGGGTGATATCTTGGTTGCGAAATTTTTGTACAGCTCACGAAGAATCTTTATGGACAGAGTTGGGGCTCCTTGACCATCAAAGGCTTCCATGACTGCTTCTACCTCAATTCAATCAAAGGCCTTCTGCAAATCGATGAAAGTGAGACAGAGCGTTCTTTTGCACTCTCGATACCTCGATGAGCCTTGTTACTGTGTGGTTGTGGTTTATCGCGCTAAATCTTTTTCGAAACCCTACTTGCTCACATGGCTGTCCTTCGTCCAGTGTTCTGTCAATCCTGTTTAAGATGACTCGAGTGAAAAGTTTGTAAACGACAAAAAGTGAGCAGATTGGGCGGTAGCTGCCGACGTTCTGTAGGTAACCATTCTTAAACAATAACACGCTCTTGCTGGTCTTCCACTAAGTAGGGATCTTGAATTCAGACAGGTAACGTGTGAAAAGCTGAGCCAGTGCATTTACATGGACTGGCGGAAGGTTCTCCGGGTGTTCTGGTCTTATCCCGTCCGGACCTGGTGCTGTTCGATTTTTCACAGACGAAATGGCATGTCGGATTTCGAAAAGGAGAACCGGTGGTGCAACATATCCATCCTCCTTTATTTCATGTGATGAGAGGTGGACATCAGCATCGAAGAGACCCGAATAGTATCGTGAATGATTGTCTCCATTGCCTTTCTGGACGCTGTAACAGTTCCGTCTGGGCTCCGAAGTGCAATCATCTTGGTCCTGCAATTGGCGAAGCTTCGGTGGCCTTTGGGAATGCTTTTTTCAGCTTCTGCAGCTTCGACCATTACTGCTGCTCTTCTGTCTTTAAAATCTTTTTTATCGCCTTTCTGCACTGTTTTGCAAGTTCGGGCGTTAGTTCGGGGTTGCGTGCAGCTCGTGCGATTCCACAGTGGCGTATCACTTCAAGTGTTTCTGGAGACAGACGCCTTTGTGTGACTTTCGAACTCTCAGCTTTCATAGCGCTAACGCGAAGATGTTGAATGAGCTGATCGCATTCCTCGTCGATGTTATCGACAGCGGCATCTTCCTAACATCCGACTAATGAATTGAGTAAGTCCCAGTTTACGTCTGTTCTGGAACAACGGCTTTTGAATTTAACGGCTTTTTGTCGTTTCCCCGAGAAATCGAATCGTGCACAAAGGAGACGGTGGTCTGCTCCCGTGTAGAATTTTGGGACAACAGCGACATCAGTTAGGCAAAACCTTCTATTTACTATGATGTGGTCTATTTTATTATGGTACTCTCCATTGGGACATTCCCAGGTCTAGCGTTGAAGGTTGGGTTTCTACAATTCCGAATTACCATGCATGGTCTTGGTCGCCATGATAAACTCAGACAGTCGCTCACCCTGTTCGTTCCATTCTAATCCATAGGCCTCAATGTATCGTTCTTCAAACGTTCTTCTTGGTCCAATCTTAGAGTTGAAATCTCCAATGATGACCTTGAAGAATTTAGGGTGTTCTCTGTAGAACTTCTGCAAGTCCATATAGAACGCTTTAACTTCTTCATCGTCATAGTTTGATGTCGGCACATAAACGACGAAAACTGCCAAAGCCGGTATTGATCCACGTCTTTTTAATCGTAAACGCCCGATTCTGATTGTAAGCCATTCGAATGTATCGATGTTCATCGACAACTTCATGGTGACGAGAACGCCGACGCCGCCGACACCTCTACTGTCCCATGTCCGAGGAACAGTTCTTCTACGGCGTCACAGACGGTGTTGAATGGGTGGCATCGTCTCGTCTCGGCCAGGCCGATGATGTTGCACCTTATCCTTTTTCCTTGCATGAGCAAGCCCTCTATCGAAGACTCAGATGAAAGTGTACGTGCATTGTTGGTACAGATCGTCACCTTAGTTCTTTGTTATCCAAGCAGTTTCCATTGGCCCTGAGATTTTAGCAGCCTCTCCGTACTCTTCCGTACCCAACGCTGCGAAATTGGGGGCTCTTTCGGGGTCAGAGGAATTAGACCCGTTTGTTTTACTCTGTTTAGCATTTTTGATACCCACGTATAGCTTTCTGGACTCTGAACATGTTGGCTGGGTGTACTCACGGGTAGCTTGCCAGGCTCTCCCAGAGTGGTCATGAGCTTTTTTGTTGGAGACGACTCCTAACCGCCTTTGAGTCGTAGAATACAATCCACATAAGCAAGAACGCACCCACACACGCATGTATGAATACTTAGCAAATACATAAAGTATGTGTCAAATTAGCGTAGCAGAAACAAGGAGTCCATCCCCTGGATCCACCTGTGTCTCAGGGAAGCAGAGGTTGCTTTTGGTCAGCGATTAACGCCCTATCCGTCATCTGAGAACGCGCCATATGGCCTGGCGGCTAACCGGTTCGTGATCCCTCATGTGAGGGAGATCCGTGGGCGAGAAGCATTGCCAACAAATCGATGAAATGCACTGTAAACACCAACAAAAACGACCGGCATTAGTCAACAGAAAAGTTCCAACCCTTCTCCACGACAACGTAAGGTCTCACGCTGCAGAACCAGCGCTGCAGATGTTGAATGAGCTGAGTAAAGAAGCTCTGCCTCATTCGCCATATTCATCATACCCCTCGCCTACCGACTGCCACCTCTTCAAACACCTTGACAAGTTTCTGGGCAAGAAATGCTTTATTAACCACGATAACGCAAAGAAATGCCTTCAGCGAATTCGTGGCTTCCAGAACACCAGAATTTTACGTAATTCAAATAAGTGGACTTGTTTCTTATTGAGAAAACGTGCTAATTCTGATGGTGTTTATTTCAATTAATAAAATTTGGTATAAAAAAATAGTTATCCAAACTTTACATCTAAGATCGAATATTTAATATGTTACACCCTAATAGGCAGTGCACCGAAGGCAGTAAGAAAAACCGCGCTTGTCCTTGTTCACCTATTTAACTCTGCAATTTTCCTGCATTAACGTTTGGTGCAGAAATTTGGATGCTACATAGGTGTGAAACTGCAGCCAACGTTCTCAAACGAGCCATTTCATGAAGCAATAGTGGTAGTATCGTATCTCGTTTTAAACCTATGGTACAGGAAATTCGGGGTCATTACCGCAACCACTTGCTGTGAGGTGTCGACTGGTTTTCATAGAACATAAATGGTGCAATAGGAAGGTCATACACCCAGCGGTCAGACTTCTGCACGAAAACGCCGAGCGAGATCCTATTTAAATCAAATGACACTGCAGAGAATACTTTATACCTCTACCGGTAGCAACTGGCAATGTATGAGTGAGCTCAATAGAAGATGGTTACTAGCTAATTTTTCACACCTCTTCATTAAAACTCGTAACAAAACCATTCACTGCCAGGTGGACAAATCACTCCAATTCACTCCCTCTCCTATGGCGAGCTACACCCAGCTGAAGCTCATAAACACGAAAGTGCCAGTTACGAAGCCAACTGCAACTAGTAATCATTCCGCAGGTGTTATATTTATCCTTGCTAGACGGTGAAAGACGTTTCTACTTATTTATGGCCAAGTCGGATTTTTTTTTTGAAAAAAAGACGATGGTCGAAAAGTGCACAGAAAGTGCTATTACAAGATCGCACCGAGTGAGGACATTGTACTTGTAAAAATACAATCGATCACCTAGAAAATGTCTTTACGGGCAGTTTAATTGGCTCTCATATGTAATCGAATTTTCTCTCCTTTCAAAGTGAGCTGTCATTGAAAATTTTTTTGTTAGACTGCGAAACACTAAGGCACTCTTTGCTTCCATCTCTGTCCTCTCCCTCATCTGAACTGCCCAGTTCTTTGTCTTCCCTCCCATCATATTCTATTCATCTATCTCGTAACTTCTTATGGCACTCTTCTTGACACAGAGGTAGTAGGCCTGAAATAATCGGGTAAGATGACTAACTCTGACGAGAGTCACCATAACATTTAGTATGTGAGTGCACGTTGAAGCCTATAGACAGCTCACCATGAACAATTTCCCAATTTGAAATGAGCCAGAGTTTTCGCTGTCGGTTTTCGGCGAAGATACAGGGTGCTCTCTGATAAACAGCCTCAAATAAAGTGTGGCGATCTCTGTACGAGAAATTCATTCTAGTGTTTTAGTTGTTGGATGGAACATAATGGTCTTAAAAATTTTTAAATCAACGCGGTAATCAGCTTTTCACACAGTCTTAAACGAAGCGACCAATTAACATGGCAGCGAAAATGCCGTCGAAATCATTTTTTCGCGACACAGCAGCTCTATCCAAATGATTTCAACTTCTCAAATTTACCACGCAATTGTAGCAATCTCTTAGCTTTTAAGAAGAAAAGGAAAAAAGTGATGGCGCAGATATTCTATTAAGGAAATATTCCCCTAAGTCGACAAAGAATCAAAGATGTAGTTAGCTTTCCTTCTTATCGAAAACAGTGTAGTACCCAAAGATATAATATCAAAACTATATAATTCGTTTTACATAATGCATTTAATTTAACGACAGAGATCCGCCCTAATAAGAATTCGATGTTGTGCACAGGTGACTATGCCGACAATCGCCTTTTACCTGTCTTCAACTTCAGTACCACAATGGTACACTGGTCTTTTGAACATCAATGAAAAATGTAATAACTTTCTAGTTAAAATCATCAAAATCTATCAAATCATACGAGTGGAAAATCATAAAAGATGGAAAAAAGATTTGAAAAAAGAAAAAAATGAAAAACAACAATTAAAGTGTCTACGCGGCCAGACAACCGAGTCACGTACAGAGATATTGAGTTAAAGAGTTTTATAAGATGAATAGCTACGTCTTCATGACGTCGAATATTTAATGGAACGAAGAAGGCAACACCATGGAATAGAATTCTGTTGTGAATAACGTAAATGGCTAATGCCATCAAAAGAAGAATGAGTGAGACGAGATCGATCAGTACAAACCACAACCCTGTAAATTAGCCTGGATGATCATGTCGATGACGGAGTCGAGGATGATCTGCACTTGATTTGTGTCGGTGGCGCATGTCTGATGTATGTATATCGTCTTCTCCGGATTCGCATTCAGTCCTTCAAATTTCATCTCGATGAAAGCCGTCGCCTCCTCGTACGTTTGTGCACCTATAATTATTTTCACATATTTCTATGCAATTTGTAATCTAATGACGACATTCTGATCCATATTTGGCTGGAACAAATCAAACTTTGACGTTTAGCCATCTAACCCTAAACTTAAAGCGTATTTATCTCTGCACATGACGAACATTATTAATAGGATCACAATGTTAACCTTTTTATTTACCGCCTATTCTTTTTAACGGTAGGGTGTGTTGCGAAATATAGCTTCTGTAATGCTAAGATATTTGCGAAACTCCGGACCACAGGTGTCTGCTGTGGGGAACGAACGCGCTGTTGTCCTTTCCGGGGAGGAACACGTTTACCACCACACCATGCCGGTACTTCGTTTCGCCTGTCTCTTAGCGAGTTCTATCGATCACTTGCCATCAGCAATCACCCATAAACGGAGAGAGCCCAAATCGGCATTGTATCCAGCTAAGCTGAGGCTATAGTTATAATCACAATCTTAACCTTTTTATTTACTTCCTGTTCTTTTTAACGGCAGGGTTTGTTGCGAAATATAACTTCACTAAGCATCGTTGGAGATGATTGAATGCATATTTGGCCAATGCGATGACCTGCGGTGGTGCATCGAATCAGTGTTGTTATTTTTCTAATAAAGTTTGATAATAAACCCCAGAAAGAACAATAGCGCGTTCGTTCCCCACCGCGTTCGTCCGGAGTTTTGCAAATATCTCAGCATTACAGAAATTATTGATAAGGTTAAACGTTGTGAGATTTTGTGCGTTTTCCCAATACAGTTCGAATCTATGCATCACAAAAGGATGACGACTTCCAGGCCTCACAAATCAGTCACCTTTCTCTTATTTTATCCTCTAGAAAGATATGACATACTGCGAGAAAACATGTTGTTCATGTGGATCGCTGCTTTAGGAAAAGTCAGAATGGCTTTTTTAAAAATTTTTATTTCTCGAATATTTTGTTAAATTCCTATTAAAACTGGTTACTCGTGCTTTCACCGGTTGTGAAAAGCGTTTCCTACAAGCTTGTTAAGTTTTCAGGCACTCTAGTCAGGGCAAAAACCACAATTTCATCGTTTGGTTCACAAAATTCTGGCAAAACCATATTTACAGATGTATACATTCAACTCTGTATACGTTACTACAATCACGTTTTGACGGGGCTAGAGTGGATGAGGATTCTCAAATCTCATACTTTCTAGAGGTAACACCTAAAAATTTGTTAATCTGTGGAGTCTATGGCCTTTATGGCATTACGTCCAAAAGTTTTTACACGATTTTTCTGGAACTCCAGGAACAGCAGATTTTGTATGAGAAGCAAATTACCATTCAGAAAAGAATTCTGCTGAAGTCCTCGCTGTTCGTTGTGAAGACGAGCTATTCAGGTACCGAGTACTACACCGTGTTGCAATAACACTGCTATGAATGGTCATCACGAGTCATTTCTAACATGAGAACAAAATCCCTAACGTTGACGGGCAGCCAATTACGGGGTTTTTTCGCGCTTATAAAGATTTTAATTCTCAAATTTTTGTAATGTAAAGAAATGAAAGGACGTAGGCGTGTCTACGTTGCTATGGAAACGGCGTGTCACAAATTTAGACGGCACTATTGCCATAATTGTATATTAAAGGGTACAAAAATTTCGTTTTAAAAGCTGACGGCATCAGAATTAAAACCAGTTTTCGATTAAACGAAAAAGCGGCTGAGTTGCAAAACGGATCACTGGATAGTTAGGATGCATCTCGTTTTCCCTACGGCACAATTTTGAATTGTGATCTGCTTCTTAACAACGGAATAGGACTCTAGGCGTTCATCAATCCACGAAGAATGCACCAAGCATTTGACTTCACTAAGCATCGTTGGAGATGATTGAATTCATATTTGGCCAATGCGATGACCTGCGGTGATGCATCGAATCAGTGTTGTTATTTTTCTAATTAAGTCTGATAATAATTTCCCTACGCCAGAAGGAAGGAAGGCTTGGTGATCACAGCGAGCGGGATCGATGCGACGATCATGTGTTTATTCCAGGACACTTTAACCCTATCCTACACTCGCCCTCCCTGTTTTTTGCTTCCTATTAAGTGCAAACTGAGTCCGGAATGGCATCATGTATAAATAGGGTAAAAAGGAAATTAGTTTCGTTTATTTGATTTGTCTAAGGGCATTTTTCCTCAGAACATTACACGCTCATGTATTTCACGTTTATATTTAAAAAGTTAGAAGGCGGTGTAACGTTGTTATAAAGCCCTGCAGAACAAGTATGGTTGTTGTTTCGATCCCGCATCCCGGGCTGACCAAACATTCATTCCTACGCGATCCCAAAATTGGTACAGGAATTGTCTGGGAGGGTTGCAACACTGATACGATACATCGGTGAGGCATCGTAAGTCATTGTAAAGACCAGCTATGCAATCAATTGGCTTTAACGATGCATGGTGACGTCAAACCTATGGCTCATCTCTAAAGGCCTGGTGAACGCCGGAAACTTTATCCTTCATCCTTCTATTTAAAATTCGAGTAGTTGAAGTCAATAAATAACCTTTGTAGTCAGGAAAAGCGATTGTGATATTCGTTCGCTGAATCTTTTCGGCGAACAGATCTTTTTTGTTGAGAAAAAGAATCATTGAGGTATTGATGAACCACCGACTGTTGCAAATCGACTCGAATAACCTCATCGATTCGATCATCCGATTCTGAAACAGCACTCACATTCCTCCAGTGAACTCTTGTTCGTCCTGACTTCAAAAACTGGAATTGAAATCAAAAAAGTACAAGTATTTATGCGCTCATGTTCCTAACGCTCTTGGTGTAAACTGGCTAGAAATGGAGATAAGAACCAAGCAGAATTCTGCTCGATATTTTAAAAATCGGTAGCAAGACGAACCGTAGTTTCGTCTTCGAATAGTACTTGGTCGTATTCTGAAATGGCAGCGATGAAAATGATGGCGTTGACATCTTCGAAACAATGAATCCATTTCTTTCGCTCAGAACGCTGGCCGCCAACGTCAAACACTCTGGAAAGTTGAAAACAAGTAAGAGAAAGTCAAGAAAGGCAGAGTAGGGAAATAAGTGCGCTAGCACAAAGGCTGCGCCAATTTAGTTTGAAAGAAAGGAAACGAGACATTCATCAAATTCTTTATTTGTACGTGCAACATCAACTGCCTGCGCTTGTTGTTTAAAACCTTACATAATATTTCACTTTTTTATAAGAACTTCTGTGCAGTCTGACAAGACACTTCACCAGCTTTCGTGGATTGTGGTGCGAAGATGGTTAATGAACAATATGAGAGTGACTGGCAAGGAGGTTCATGTCTGAGGTGATGCTCACCGGATAGAAATAATGGGAAGGAGAGCCACAAGAAAGAGTGACCATTAAAGCTGTCTTTGCACACTATTTCAGATCATCATTTCTCGTTGAAATATCGACAGGTTACATAAAAATGGAAAGCAGTGAACAGATCTAAGCACAGCGAACTTGATACAATCTTTAGAAGGGCACCAAGGGCAAATGTGTTTTCGCATAGACCACAAAAATGGTACATCTCCTGTTCCTCTCTCTTGAAATTTAATTCGTACCACTTTTCTAAATGGTAACGATGAAATCAAAGATCACGATGACGACTACAATGAAGTTAATGGTGATAAAAATGTGTGCTAAAGTTCGAACGTCTCGGTTACCCAGGCGTGAATCTGAGGCCTCTGAACACGAACGAACGGAATTCTAGAGTTTAACTCAGTTTTCAAAAAATTACTCATCTTTGCTATTCATACGACTCATCTACTCTTCGGAAAATATCTTGAACTGTAAGGAATCTGTCAATTACTACCGACAGTTGTCTAAAATCGAAGCTCTGACGATACGTAAATAGAGCACATTGATGCTTTTCCTCGCAACAGTTTACCGGCATATTTAGATCTCAGCGAAGGTTTCTTTAATCCAGGAAAGTGTAATTTTACTATAGAAAAAAAGTTACCAAAATTTCCTGCAGAACGATACCCGAAGTAGGAGAACAAGGCTGACACTTTGATCTGACCACAAATGGGAAATCAATAAACTTTCGGTAAATGGCAAAGTGTCATACAATGTTATACGGGAAAGTGTTGTTATTTCAGAAACAGTAAGAAAAAGGACTATTTCGAATTTACTTCTACTCTGTAACGAATCAATAGGGCACATGTAGCGCACTGGTTTGAAGTGCCCTGCAATACACATGGGTTTGATCACGAACCCATGTGCTCACCAAACCTTCCATCCCTCCGCTGCCGGCAAATCGGTATCAGACCTGTCTAGGTGGATAGCGGCACTGACTCATACATAGGTGGGTGAACACGAATCATTGTATAGGATACTTATGTATTGAATCACCCCAGTGATGCTTAATGAAGTCGAATGGATGGCGCATCTCTCAGGAATTTATCAATGCCGAGAGCTTTATCCTCTATCCTTCTAATGAGTATTTCCTAGATATCCTAATTAAATGAATGCCTGAGTATTCATGGTTTGATAACAAGTTCAATGATTGCTGGTCCAACACTACAGTCATTAGAAATAATCGACTTTTGTCGAACCAAGTCTAAGATGACTGAGAAACTTTACTTTTTCCCTTCTAAATTGTATCTATAGATGTTCTATAACTAAAAACAACTAAAACATTTATGGTCTTGTGTTCACCATGCTTCACATCCATCCAAGTATGTGCTTGTTCATCATTTTACGGAATGTAACGCCGTCTAAAACACTACGGCCCATTAACGACTATTAAGTATTATCGGAATCGTAACCACGAAACTTACCGAAAATCAACGTTTTTCATCTGGAACTTCACTTCTACTATACCAGTTGTCTTTATTCGAGAAAGTAGAATATCGTGCTCATTAGGAATGTAGTCCTTTGCAGCAATGCGATCAATTGAACTCAAGAAGCTGTAATCAAGAATTTTATTCTTTGCAACATCTGGAATTCCATGAAATAAACGAAGTAAGAATTGTCTTGTTACTACAAAAGTTTTTCGACAACCATAGCAATGATAGCCATTTTCATGCAGTCTAAAACATTTTATCATGGTTCATTTTTCATGGAGTTGCCATTTAACTGAGAACTCACTGTGGAGCACTCTCAGTCAGCTGAAACTCATTGCCACGGCTTATCGCCTTTGCTATTGCCGAATCGGCCCAGAGATTTTTCAACGCTTGCGTGAGTTCTGGAGTAAAAGGTTCCGACTCCTGACCGGCTTTGATTGTGTCCAAAACTACACGAACATCGGCCTAAATTTCAACCCTCACTTGAATGGGCAGTGTAGTACTACCGAATTTCGTCCCATGAAAGAAATCTGTATCATCGTGACAGGCAACTTTGTATTTCAAATTAAAAGGATAGAACTTTCGGCTCTGATCATTCCCTGAGCGTTGAGTCATGCATTCGACATCATTAAGCATCGTTAGAGGGAGTGAATGCATATCTGGCCTTTACAATGACTCGCGGTGGCCTACCGATGTATCACGTCCGCACCGCTATCCTCGCAAACATGTCGGGTACCAATTTACCGACTCCAGGTAAGTTGAACGCTTGATGACCCCGAGGTAAGCGATTGAACCAATGGTCACGTGTTTGCTGCTGGGCAGCGTGTTACAGCGCCGCTTATTCCATTTCAGTAGTCATAATAGCTACTTGGATTGTAGCTGCAATGCAATGAATGTGAGCTATTAGATATAAAGTATTCTTTTAACGTTTTCTTTCCAAGAATAAAGCACTATGCAATATTAAACCCCTGCGTTAACTGAGTCATCCATCTCGAAGAGGTAGGCAAACTGCTACCACACTGCTAAGTGTGTAGAAAAAAGACATCTATCTGATAAGTCTATAAGGAATCGCAACAAACATTATAGGCCAATCATGCATTCACTCACCTTTACGATCCTACGAATAGAGTTGAATGCATAGAGCATCGTTAAGTATCTGATCTGCGCTGAGGGTTTCATGCGTTATCTTTTTAGTACACTATATGTTAATATATATAGATATACGTATATATCGAGGCACGTGTGGCGCAGTGGTTGGAAGCGCCACTGTGACACACACGTGGAATTGATCCCGGCGTCCGTGACCACCAAGCCTTCCATCCCTCAGAGGTCGGCAAATTGGCACCAAACCATCAGACTTGCCTGGGAGGATAGCAGCACCGGCTCGATACATCAGTAGGCCACCGCAAGTCATTGTAAAGGCCAGATATGCATTCAATCACCTCCAACGATACTTAATAAAGTCGAATGCGTGGCACATCCCTTAGGGATTGATCAGCACCGAGAGCTTTATACTTTTTTAGCTTTATATATATATATATATATATATATATATATATGAAACTCCAGACTCTAAAAAATCGCATTCGATTGTTACAATTCCAACAAAACAGTTCAAATCATTCTAGCAACACTGTGCTTTTATGCGACTATTTCGACGGACTTTTGTTCAGCGGTCCAGTTATAAAAACATGTCTAAATAATTTAGGCTTTCGATTTCTCAAATCTAACAAGCTTATTGGAAAGAAAACGGTAGTTAACAAAACCTTAACAAAGCTCTAAATGCTATTTTGCGTAGCAATTCAAATATTTGTAGGAGTGATGACTTCACTAATTCAAACCAGTTTACGGAAGTTTATTTTAGCAATTCAAGTCACTTAATGCGACATGAGTGAACTGCTAGCTCTTGATTTGTTTTCCTACAGAGCTATGATGCAGGGAGACAACAGATTTAATGTGCCTATCTGCCTACCTCTCTGGCAGGATCATCAAATGTGATTTTTAAGCTATTCATTGCACGCAGGATCATCGCCATTGCTTGCACAGTATTGTTGTACACGACGCCTTTCTGCTGGTCCGCTTCCTCTTGAGAAAAGCCGTGATCGTGCAGAATCCTATAACGATAATTGCCCTTAGTCGTACTTTAATAGTTGCTCTAATTCGAAGAGATGCAACGAAAACCGCCAGATCATAAGAAAGTAGACAGCTTTCAACTTCTCACCTCATCTGCTTTAAAACGGTGCTCTTTCCACATTCTCCAGCTCCTAAATGAAAATCATTACGATTTTTCCCTATTGTTTGATAACTACAGAAGTCACGTGTGTAATCATCACCCGGATACTTTATTGAAATGTTTGAAACCTGAAAAAAAAAACTTTAAAAAGGACATAATTGTATGAATATGGTGCATCCGCCAACCCATCTGAGATGAATGCGAGCGTTCCACTGTTGTCAGACTTTTCAACGAAGAGCAGAACACTCATTTCTTCAAGTCGACCTTCTTGAAATACTTTATAATAAAGAGCGCGTCTCTTCTTTTAGCGAATAACAGGAAAGTGAAAACATATTGGGGTGCACACGGCCCGGTAATCAAGGTGCCCTGCAATACACTTGTGCTATTTGGTTCGATTCTGCGCCACAGACTCATCCATTTTTCCACGCTTTTGGAGATCAGCAAGTTGGTTACGGACTTCGTTGGGAAGAGAGTAGTAGTGACTCGATATAACAGTGGAGAACCGACAGTCATTTGAGAGGTTAAGCATGCATTCGGTCACCTTTATGACCCTACGAATTAAGTCGAAGGTATGGCACATCCCTCAAGGGTTTATCAACGCCGAACTGTCCATCTTTTATCCGTCCTTAATATAAAAGCGATACTACGCCTTTATAAAGGTGATTAGTACCCGAGTTAAGCTGACCCTTCTTATGCCGCATAAATGTTTAGAAATCTCTTTTGGAAAAACTAGGAGGAAAGTCATCCAAGTAGGCTTGAAAATCTTTGAAGAAACAATATTGGTTTGCAGTGTGCAAGGGCTTCAAATGATAGGATGACTGACAGAAAACGCACCGAGTCAAGTTAAAAGCATTTTCAATTCTTTAGAGATGACTAGATGGAGTATTGAATGAAAGTATAAACGAATAAAGCGTTCGGCTTTAAACGATCTTTTGCTGGCGCGACAAGGATTCTGTTTCATCAACTATTGAAGGTATACCTGTACAATCGCTTGCGGTGGTTTACCACTTTCAATGCAGTGTTTCTATTCTTCCAAACAAGCCTTGTACCAATTTAGCGACCCTTAAAATATTAACGGGCCCGTGATCGAACCAGCGACCGAATCGGAGTATATTGCAGTGCAGATCGGCCTACTGCAGCACACACGCAAAATTTTCTAATCAATGAGCTGCCAGAACTCTGGTCTACTTATAAATCACACGAGTACCATATGATGGGCACATGAATATGTTATAGATATATTAAAGATTAGTATGTGACCAGTCGATAGACTAAAAAGGAAAGAATGCTTTCCATTCGTTTAAGCGGATTCGAATCAGATTTTTCTATGCTCCTACGTGGTGTTTCAATTTCCTGTGGTTCTCACGATTATGAAATCTTCGAGATATAGGAGATATAGAGGATAAGTCCACAGTTTCATTGCCTTTAAAACTGGACACAGTGATTTAAGATCAAGAAGACTTTAGAGAGAGCATTGGGAAGCTTAATCATCCCACTCATTTCTGAGCAAGCTGCTCACACCTTGTTGAACTCCACTAATATGTAGTTTTCAATATTATCTACGTTGAGGAACTTAACGGAACACATGAACTTAACGGCTGACCTACTCCTAGTCAGCATACCTCAGTGATTTTTTATGAAATTTTGCCATCTTTTCGGCATTCTTAGATGTACATTGCGATTCCTTCCATATCAGATTTCAGATGGAACCTTTAAAATTTGACAAATTTCATGCAACTAATTCATGTTGGAATGACACATTGCGTTCATAAATAGGGTGCAATCAATTGACGTTATTGGAACTCACCTAAAAGAAGAAGCTTAACGACCTTCTGTTGAGCGATATGGCCCTGCATCATTTCCTTATCTATGGCCTTACTCTTCTGAACGAGTTGCTTTTCTTCAGCAGACTGGCACAACCCCATTTCTGAAACCGGCAGTCGTCGACACTTCAAAAATCCCTCTTTCACCAGCACCTTTCCATCTAAAAAGCACATTTCAGATTGAGTAGATATCCGAAAAGTTTATGAGAATTAATGGTATTGATATTTTTGAAAGAACGTGGTGTTCGGTTAGCATTGATCACACCAGTGATGAAAGTAGAAGTAACATGCAGTCTTCATGTCTGGCGATCCTTATCAACTTGGGAAGGTAGTCAAAATCGGTCCGAGAGTCATTCCAATGATTCTAAGAGTATACGAAAAGAGAGGAAGGCACTAAATACGAATTCGGATGATCTCCTATCAAAGGAACGTTTACATGGAATGAATTTGATAATCATCTGAAATAGCCATGCTATGGTCGCTTCAATCTTCAATTTAGAGCGTAAACCAGAGTGAGAACTTCTGGTCTGACACGTGCTTCGTCAAAGCTGCCGTAACTATTATTCCTTCCAGAATTGTAATCACGTGTAACAACAATAATTTAGGCTGCTTGAAATAGTAGTGTACTAAAATAATTTCATTGTATTAGCATTCGGTAAATCTTCCTCTTCATTGATTAAGTTAGTTCAAGTTATTGGGGTCTACAAATTTTTCCAGCAGAACGCAATTTTCTTACAGTGTTATAATTAAAATCGATTTTTACGATTATATAAAGCACAGTTCTTATTGCTCTTCGTCGAAGGTTCTACCTGACAAGGCTTCACCGAGAACAAATGGGGTACCGTCGAACCAGGCACGATTATATTTCGGAATGTATCACTCTTGTTTCAGTTAGTACTCTTTTGTTCAAAAATCAAATTTTGCAATTTTCTCTTCAATAATCCTTTTTTCAATGCGACTAAATTTTTCGTTTAGTGCTTTCTCTGCTTGGTTGTGGGTCTGTTTGGCTGGCTAAATTGCAATCAACTTGGTCTTTCAAGGCTTTGAATCCGCATAAACGTCAGACCTTCCGTCAATAAGGAATAAGGTAACGCCTTATATTTGTTCGTAAGAAATACAAAAAATCGTTTCTCACAAAGGTGCTGGATGAACGAGCTACATTCTTCATTAGCGTTATCGATAACAGTAGAACGAGTCCATATTTATGATTGTTTCCAGAATTGGCTGTCTAATCCTTGTGTTTCCATTCCTCATACAAGAAAAATTTCCGTCATGATCTGATACCATTCAGAATTATGACAGTACAGCGCTACCGATTAGACAAAGCCTTTAATTTGGTATGATGTGGTATGTTTTGTCGTTCTACTCTCTTTTAGAGGCCCCTACATCCAGCATTGAAAATAGGACCTAAGGAATTGTGGGCGTATTGGAGAAAACATGATCTTCAATGAAGAACTCCTTCAATTCCAGATAGAACGCCACTCTTTCATCGTAGCAATAGTTTGACTTTTAGTATAGAAGACTAAGATCGTCAAAGCCGATATTGATTCACGTTTTTTTATTTGCAACATCCGATGAGAGGCGATACTCGTTCCAAGAACTCATTGTCAATGACGAACTTTACGTTGAAAAGGGCACCAACGTAGTCCGCTTCTCCACTGTCTCGTGTTGAACAAAATAGATCATTTGCGACATCATGAAAGGTCCCGCAATGAGCGATGTCTTTTCATCCCGGTCACTCTCTTGACGTCGTGTTTGTTTTTTTTAGCTCTCATTGTCCCCATACAATGGAGGATTCCAGTGCTAGCGTGTGCCTGGAATCAGCACAGGTTCATACTAACTCACATGAACAAAAATTTTACGGAAAATTGTTGACGCAATTGTTTTTTCCTAGACGTAATCTTGCCATCACAGTGTCCCATTAAGTATCTATTGTATCCTCTACATTACTCGTGCATTCGGAGAGGTAGATAGAGGGACCTTGGCCTGACGAATTATTTAGCTTACTGAATGAACACCTAGTTATCTTCTACGGTGGCGGTGTTCGCTGTGGCTACAGCACACCTCCAGTTTTAATAAAACGCGGCGTCAATTCTGTAATAAAGATATTCGAGCGACGTCGCAGCGCGAATGCAACGTCATTGGCAAACCGTTGATTAACTTCCGTATGTCTTATATTATTTTTAAGCTATCCCATTAAAACTTCTCTACATTCTCTACAAATTGATCAATTCCACCATGGGTAAGAGAATGTCAAGTATTCGCCGGCACAAATTTCCAGTTAGTTTAACTAAAAACAAAAATATTTTAATGACTTTAGAAATCGAAAAATGTGAAGAGTAAAATTTCAAGAAACTGTAGAGCAGTACTTCTACCTGAAACCTGCTTCCATCGCTGTGAACAGTTATAGACATCATTATTTACCAAAGCAATATAAGATCTAAAGATAGAGAACAAACTGTTTCTGTTGAAAAAGTTTAGAAATTGTAAGGATAGTAAGGACAACTATTGTTTCCTCATGAGAATAAGCTCAGCTTTAAAAAGTAATTCGAAGTTGGAACTGTCCTATGGATAGGGACGGAACAAGCTCTCAACCAGTCCGCTAGCAACTTTTTCTAAGTGCAAACTACAACTTTTTAAAACAGAGATGGAATGTAGATAAATACACAATAGAGCATAAAGATACCACTAATCTTCAGTGCTTGGCAAGTGTTGCCTAAATGGTAAATACACTACGAAAAAACACTTCGGCACAGAAATCGGAGTGACACTACGAAAACAACGGCGGAGGAGTAGAGATTGTGTATTTTTTGAAAGAACTGTGCGAGCGATAGAGGCGGTCGCACAACCCACTGCCTATCTGTTACCCGTGGAAACGGACTGATTAGTCGTGAGTACGTGCTGTTGGAGCAAGAAGGTGTAGTTCATCGTCGAAGCAATCACTATCAAACGATTTCCACACGTTTTGTGACAAAAAAACTGACAACGTACTTAACAACTAATAAGGTACACCCAGCGTAACGAGTAGTTAAAAGGCTATATTAAACCTTTGCTTAGTAACGCCGACCTTTATGGACCGCAGCAAGCTCTCCTAAGAGAGGCCTATTTTAGTGACCATGGGTGTACTGTAGTGCAACACCCTTAAGCACGACGCTCTTCATCTTTAAGTGAAGGAATTTTCCAACATTCTATATTCAGGGGTAAAAAAATCAGTCTTCAGCATTTATTTACTAGAGGTGGAATATTTTAGCAAATATGGACAGATTCCACTTTAGTTTACTAGTCGTACAGTACTCTATCTCTTCTCTCATGCTGTTTTTCGAAAACGATATGATTATGTTTCGTTTTTAGTGAAGGCAATTTTCTTCAGATGAGTGACATTCTCATGACTGATTTTTCTTTCTGTGGGCCTAGTTTTAACAAAGGATTGCTGGTATAAATAGGCAGAGTAGTTAGTTCGATGTTTTTCTTCAATAAGCAGACACGAGGTTGTTATCATAGGATTGATCAGGATACAGTAGCTGACGTTTCGGTGGTTTCGCCTTCTTAGGAGTCTGTAAAGGTCAAATTGAGATGCGAAACACTGCTCAGCCAAACACTTTCATAACCCCAGCAGATAAAACTTAACAAATAACTTTCTATTCGCACAAGAAACAGCTTCATTTAAACACCAACCGTTTATTCGTTGTAAGTATTTAAGTTAGTTGGTGGATATCAGCCGTACAGAGTAATACATGGGCGATAATTGTGTCTGTGTCAGGTCATTGGATCAGCCTGAGGTATGGCGCCAGGTCACGCGTGATGACAAGACACTCCTCCTTGCGGTTCACTTTTGAATTTTTGCAATTGATCCAAAGCGCTTCAAGAGTTTTACGTGCTGATGTTTTCGATTCCTGCGTGAGGATAGTGACACCTTCTTCAAAATCTTCTCCGTTGTGTTCCTGAATCCTATGCCCGCCTAGTGGAGTGTTTGGTTTTAATTTAGATTTGCCGACTAGGCGTTTTTTTATGCGGACGCATAGCGGTCTACCCGTTTCGCCAACGTATTCTTCCCCGCACGCTTTACATGTGATCAGATAGACTGTACCCGAACTCATGCAATCACCGTCTCTACCGTCAGGGCAAATTATACAGTTTTTCGTTATACATAGATGGTTATATGGGCGGTTGAGACCCAGCTGGCGTCCTAGCATCCGATGGTATTTCCATCACTCTTATGGAATTTTCTAGACCGGCCCTTATTAAGCAACGTTTTATGGCTGTACTTATTTCGTTTGAAATAAAGGGTAAGAAAAACGAAGCCTTGTTTTCGCTAGAATTATCGCTCTGGGGCGTGGCTTTTCCTCTATGCCCATGCCGAGAAGCTACAGTTTCGCAACCATTTGAAATGGCTATTTGGCGCGCCAATTTCGAGGATTCTTCCATCTGATCCTCTCTACCTGTGCAAACGCTGACGGCGGTTCGAAACATATTTCTTACAAGCGCCCTTTTAGTGTGTGAGGCATGAGAGGAGAGGTAATGAACCACTATATTCTTACGTTTTTTTTTTCACCAACTAACTGAGATACAACAAATAAACGGTACGTGTTTAAATGAAGCTGTTTCTTATGGGAATACAAAGTTATTTGTTAAGTTTGATCTGCTAGGGTTATGAAAGTGTTTGGTTGAGTAGATCGCATTTCAATTTGACCTTTCCAGACTCTGAAAAAGGCGAAACCGCCGAAACGTCAGCTATTGCATCCTAATAAATCCTATAATAACAACCTCGTATCTGCTTATTGAAGAAAAACAACGAATTTTCAATCAGTGCCGAGGTTAACAGTGATTAGTTGTTTAGTAAGTAATCCAGTCCAATACTGACCCTGTCATTTCCTGCCAGTGTAAAGGCTTTCTGAAATATTTTTTCAAATATGTCCAAAATGCATTCCATTTTCTACCCCCTCATAGCTTTCGAACGAATGACTCCTATAGCCACTTTTTTCCCACTTATTTCTTTACTAATAAGGACGTGTGTAGTGATGTGATTAGAGGTGCCCTGCAATACATACGTGGTTGCTGGCCCGATCTTGCTGCTCAGACCCACCAGGCCTTCCATTCCTCCTAGATCAGCTGATTAGTATCAGACTTGTGTAGGAGGATAGCAGCACTGATTTAATTCATCGGCAGACCACCGTGAGTTATTTCACAAGCCAGATGTGCATAGAGCACTTCCAGCAATGCTTAATGAAGTCAGGCGCATGACGTATCCCAATACGGACTTGAAAAGCAGAAAGCCTTATTCTCTATTTTTCAATGTTGTTAAACTACCACTCCTCCATAGATCGAGACGAATAAAGGCTAAAACGCAGCTCCTCGTGAGTTTGGGAGCTATACGGGTTGTCTAATTTTCGCAAAACTTTTGACCAGTCCAAATGTGGATCTGTTTTCCTTCTTTAAACACATTTATTTACAGTTGTTGTTGCGTTCTACGAAAAGGAATGAAACTAAAGCTGTTTTTCTTAAAATTTCATAAAGGACCGTCAATGATGAGAACAAAAATTATTCAAGTCAGTTTTCGTAGAGGTGAAATCCATTGGATGTAGAAGCACCGCGTAAACTATTCAACCTTGTAATCACTTCTGCTATCCAATTAAGGTCACGATTTTAGCGAAAACGGGAGACATTTTTGAAGCTAACCTTTATTGGACAACATATCTACGATACCTATAGCAATTTTGTTTACAAATAAATGAGTTTAATGGTTGCAGCTTCGATCCTGATTGGGAAAAGTCTGCGACAAATTCAATGCTCCCACATCGAACCATTCTTTCGGAGTTCCTCTGTGAATGAATCGCTTCGGCACCGTCATACGAACTCGCTTCTGACAAGGCTGGAAATAAGAAATCTCTGGCGTTCAGCGGACATTTGTTGACAAAAACTACGTTGCTATTATTTTCAGTGCATTCTGCGATAGAACGCCATTATCGTATTCTTCATTTGTTATTGAAGTTTTACAGAAGTCCTAATAACTATGGCGCCACAGCATTATTAAATGTCGGTTGCACTTTCTTGTAATTGATTCTTCAACATTCTGTTAAGCTTACAAAATCTGGAAAACCCTTCCATTAATTTAAGAGAGTGATGAACTGATAAGCGCTAAGCAGGAACGGCGGCCGTTAGTGATCATAAAAAGTAACTGCCAACTTTTGTTGATTTATTTCGGGAAATTCCATGGTGAGATTTGAGACCTGTGGCAACTAATCTCAAAGGGGTGGTCGAAAACTACCGGCAGAAAGGTCCGTATTTACGTATATCCGCATTTCCTTATCGTCTACGCCATTTAACGTTCCTTCTAACATTTTAACCGTTTCCGCACAAAGTGCTAGAAGATCTTGTACATGTCGTCGAAATGTTGCCCGCCGATCGAAAACGGAGCGTTTGCCAGTTTTTAGAAGGCTTCAACCTGGCTCGTGCTCCAGCTCGAGCGATTCCAAGTTGACGTATCAGCACAAGTGTTTTTGAAGATAGATGTCTCCTGGAGAATTTTGAATTCTCATCTTTCACGGCGTTAAGGCAAAGGTTCTGAGTGAGCCAATCGTATTCCTCTCTATGCTACCGATAACAGTATCTTCACATAGTATCACTAATAATCCGAACAAAATCCGAATTCATTGTTGTCTTGGAATTTCGTTCTTTAAACCTTGCGGTCTTCTCTCCTTTCCAAGAAAAATGAAGTGCCGCGCGAAAGAGGAGGGGATTCGATTCCGTGTCAAATTTTTAGACACGACATCGGTTAGTAGAGCTCTCAAATTACAATTTTGTAGCCTACTTTACTATGATAGTGTCTATTGAGGCTCCACAACTAACCCGACAGTAGGGTTTCTGGAATTGTAACTACTATGAGTGGTCTTAGTTATTATGGTAAACTCAAATGGCACTCATCGAACACCCATTTCGCTTGCTAAGGGAACACGTGCTACATACCACACCAAACATGGCTCTTATTTTGCTTTTTGGTGATTGATGATCATTGATGACCTATGATTTTACGTTACCAGCTATCACCCGTCAAAAGGAGTAATTTGAGGAGAACAAATAAACATTGAACTTAGCTGAAGCTGAGTTCGAAATCAATAAGCAGTAAATAAAAGTTAAGACGAAATTATAACATATAATTTTGTAACTTCCACGCTTTTCCAAGTTGAGGAGCCAGCTTGTTTGGAAAGGATATCATTTTCGCAAGGAGAGGATCATGCAGAATAGATGCTACATTTCAGAAGTTTACCAATTCTTATATTTTGCAACAAGGATCGTGATACTAGCAGGCTCTATGTGCGCTTAGATATGCCAAGCCGTCGAGTATCATTTATCACACATAGTTGCTTCTATCCTCCCAACGGTTTATCAACTCATCGTGGCTCGGAGATGTTCCTGCGTGTCGGACTGCAACGTACATCGGGGGGATTCATTCTACTGGCACGGTCTCTCAAGCTGAGAAGGAGTCCGATATTTCCATCCGGAAGCCTAGTTTAGAGTAAAGCAATACCGTTCACTGTCTTCCCCGTATCAAGCTATTGACGTAGAAGCAAATCTCTCTCTGATCCACAAGGTCAGTGAGTGCCTGTGACGGTGACGACATGGAACAGACTTTGTCTAAGTTGGATTTGGAACTCCAGGGAACCACAATATTTAGATCAATAAAACTCCGAAAAAATGAGAATTATTCTGGTACCCACACAACCAGAGAAAGTGGGTCATCTAAGTGTCCAAGTAGGTAAATTCCGGTTATTATTTGAAAATGAATCACATTTTTCAAAAGATAAAGAAGTAATGACATGAAGTGGAATGTTGAAGAGTGTTTATAGAAAAGAAACGAACCCTTATTCCGTCTTCACAATCATGGTAAATGAACAGCACGGGTTCAATGTCGGTCAGCTCTCGTGTGGTTCCAGATAACGCAAATCCACCGTCTTTGTCAGTGTAACCTTCGTCCAAGAGGTCGTCGCTGTCACCGAAATCTAAACGTCTAGTAGGTTTTATTTCTCTATCGTGCTTGTACTTTATACTTAAAGATTTCCTTTAATGTACAGCACAAAAAATACAGTTCGAAAGTAATGGCGGAAACACTGATGATGATGATTGGTGACAATTTACTGTGAACACTGCGTTAGAAAACGGAGCGACAAATTCGTCGATCTGTAACGTCTAAAACTGTGGGCGGAAGTCAAACCTTCCATTGGTATTTGCTACTTCATTTACAGAGAGGTGAAGTCCACTTCGCTTTCCAAATTACTTTACAAACACGATATTGAGCGAAATAATCAGTAATCACGATCAAGCAGAGGATTGCACAACCTCTACCCTACACTTCTTATTCGTTGTGGTCCAACGATAGGGCTACAAAGAAAGCATGGCTCATCGACTAAATTGATATTGGGCAAGTTTACGGTATCAAAAATCTCGCTAGCCCTCACTTCTATCCAGATCGTAGATTTTGATCTTTGTATTTCTCAGCGGTGTTTCTCCACAAATCAGCTGACCTTTCACTGCAACCCCCTGTTTGCGAAAAGCTGAACAAAAGCTTACTGAAATGAGAAGGACTGCCTTCATAGGTAGCATGTCTGCAAGAACAAAATTTTTTCTGTGTGGCTCGAACTATAGTGATGTTACATGAGAGCTCTACAATGAACAAAAATCGTAACGCTTTCTGGAATTCCAATACGGACACTTTCCATAAAATTCAGAAGGCGTAAGCGAGCACAAGATTTATTCCAGTTATTACATATCATGACAGAATAAGGCTTTATGAAAAGCTAAAATACATAAAATACGTATAGAAAGTCGGTCTCTTAAGTTATTAAAATAAAAGGCTTGGCCAAATGCCTCCACACTTCGGCTAAATATGCAAGGAATGATGTCACTTCTTATCCACGATTGCCATTTTAAAACTAATCATTCTCGTCTTCTAACTGTTTGGTCACCAGGGATCGTTTCTGTCGTCCGGCTCAGAGAATTGGTCAACAGCTGATTGATTTCGTGACGGCAATTCGTCTCTTAAGATTTTATTAGTTAAAGAACTGATAATGAGTAAAAGAGCGATCGGTACTGATCACTTTTTTAGTGATGAGACTTGCATTCGACTTCATCACGCATGGTGGAAGTGATTGAATACTTATCTGGCTTGTTCAAGATAATCTGTGGTTGCCTATCAATGTACCAGGTTAATGTTTCTCTGCTGTCAAACAAGTTTGGTGCAAACTTGCCGACCCTCGAGTTATAGAGGACTCGTTCAGCCCGTTGGGAAGGCATTGTGGAAGCCAGATATTTATTCCATTAGTTATGAATCAGAATTCGCTAATAGCAGATAAGAATCTTTCTTTCAATTTTACTGGTGAACAAAATTATAGCACACTTCTAGGGAATATGTTTTTTCAACCATAACAGATTAGTGGATAGCAGAAAATACCTGGCATTTGAGACTGCTTTCCTTCTCCTCAAATAATGACTGCGTTTCTTCTTTGTTACTTTTTCCACTCGCTCTTCATCTTCTTTTACATAAGTTTCCAAATTAAATTCACCCAAATCAAATGTTCTCTAAAAATAAACCAACTCTGATAGATTTAAGAGCGTTTCTTTCCTGAATCTACAGTATGCTAGGAGTAGCAATACGAGAAATTCATTCCTAAATGAGTGACGGCATACCTTAGGTGACTCGCTATCCTCAACATAGGTTTTAGGAAGCAAAAAATTCAGCTTTCGTCGTCCAGACTAAAAAGAGCTATTGTTCCTATTTCTAAATATGCACAAAATTCTTTAAAAAAGGTGTTTAGAAGCTCCAAATTGAAAACCAACTCAGGTTTGAGAACTGTATAAGATTTGGATTAAACGACCGAGGCCGAGTGAGGTCCGGAGTTCGTGAGTTGTCATACATGGATTAAACGTAAAACTTTAAGATTGGAAAACATATTAAGTAAATTTGAATGGGAAGGGAAGTTATGAACGAATTCAAGTACAATCCATTTAGAGAAATACTTTATGCTAACACTGTTTCAGAGGTAAAGGAAGGACATCCTGACAATGATACTACCAAGTTTTGTACCGACGTTCTTAACGTCATCGCAGTCGTGATAGATGTTCAACACTGGCGTCCAATCCGCGTCCGTATTGCTTTGTGCTAGCAGTTTAAATGTTCCTTCACCATCAGAATAGGTTTGTCCAAGCAGCTCAGCATGGCTGCTGCGCTCTAGAAAGAAGAAAAGACATGATCATGATGATTACAACTTTTCATTACATTTCAAGCCGTTTCAATCTTTTTCAACCAATTTACCTGGAAGGACAATCTTCACATATCCCAAGAATTTCAGCCTAACTTCATTTTTTAAGCTCGATCGTACTCGTCATTAAGAGAGTTTGAAAACTATCTGTAAATGTACTTTATATTTGTACGAGCAGTGAGTACCACCACTTTCAACAGTAATGAGTCAACGTTTATACTGAACTGATAACCTATGAAAGCGGCCCTTAGTGCAAGGTTATGGGAATTATCTAAACGTCTTAAGACTTAAATGTCAAGCTCTCAACACTCAAATGTGCTCCAATACATCCTCTGGGTTGAAGAAAAAATCCCATCTTTCTTCCTTTCGTGTATACGTAACCTAACAATGTGATAAGACTATTCCAGGCTTGCAAAATTTAAACGAATATGGTGAAAATTTGTATTTACCCATATGAACTCTCTCATTGAATAGAACCATTATATAAAATGTTGATGTTGAGTGTGATCAACTCGGCTCCTTCATATGACCAAAGGAAGAATTCAGTATAATCTATAGCATAATCTATGTATATATATATATATATACATATATGTATACATATATACATGCATATATATATGTATACATATATATATATGTATACATATATATATATATGTATACATATATATACATGCATATATATATATCGCAGCCGTTGTGGATCAGACGCAAATTTGCTACCATGCGACTAATTTCATGCCAGTATGGTGGTGGATTTTGGTATTGGTTTGCTCATGGCTGGGCTTCCTGCTGGAGGCGCCGGACTTCTTCTCGGCTTTGGAGACCCTGCCGGGTGGATGGAATCAACTCGCTGTGCATCGCGGCTCGACTCCGGGGAACATTTCCTGGCCACGATGAGGTGGTAAACCGTTGGGAAGATCCTCCCATTTATGAATAAAAAGTTCAAAAATGAATTTGCTTAATATGTTTTTTCCTCCCAGCGGTTTACCGCCCGTCATGGCCGGAGGTGTTCCAGCGTGTCGGGCTGCGATCTACAGCGGGAGATTCATCCCTTAGCAGGGTGTCCCAAGTTGAGGAGTTTTCCAATACCGTTTCCATCGGGAAGCCTAAGTAAAAGTAAACGAATACCGAGATCCACCACTGTCCTAGTATCAAAGTCGCATGGTGGAAAATCTCCCTCTGATCCACAAGAGCAGCGACTGGTTGTGGTGGTGACGACCTGGGGCAGAATTTGGCCAGGCTGACCTCGGCGCTCCAGGGACTACATTGGCTAAACCAGCAAAACACCGAAAAAAATGGAGATTATGCCGGGGCTAACACAATCAGTGAGGACGGGTCATTCAAGTATCAAGTAAAATATCTTTATGGTCATGGATAAAAATTTCCAAAAGCGGAGACCGCTATGTGCAGAAGCTGTTTTTTTCCAAGAGGCACGATAATTCCTCTATTGACATAGTAGTGAACGAGTTTAAACCACTAAGGACGAGTAAAACAGACTTTACCCTATCGCATTAAGAGTGTGTAGAATTTTGTAAAATATTTTCTCGATTTAAGTGTGTTGAGAAATAAAATTCCGTAAGAAGTTGAAAAGGAAACTCAAGTTTTAAAACTTCTCACGCAGGCACAGCAGCCGCAAAAGCAACGACACATTATGGGTGAGAAAACATTGTGTCATTCCGGAAGAAATCACACTTTTTCAAACGTAGTCATTTTCTCGTTACAAGCTTTGAGGCAAAAAAAAGTGCACAAGATATGTTTGGTGGATTTCAGTAAACCTGAAATGTACTATGACAAAAAAAGTTACATCCTACAGGCAAAGATCGTTAAGTTGCAAAACCTTTCTTGCAATTTACGAAGCTTACTGTAAGCTGAAATATGGTGGCTCGAAATTGAAGGCGGTCATTGCTTTCGAATAGTAAGACTCCTATAGAGCTTACGTTGTGGCGTAAATGTAAACCATGGAGTACAGAACGAATAAGTAAACTACTCACCTTTATCAGATCGCCATAGACGTATGAGAATTTGGCCAGCTGGATACCCTCCACAATGCAAGCTGCCCTTGACAGAGACAGAACTTTTGTGGCACATAACGAAATGAAGCAGAAAATGAATGGCCAGTACAGACGAGTATATTCTCGCCATATCCTTCAAGCATAAAAAAACCTGAAATAACAAAAATCTTTCAATTAGCTGAAGTAAATACACTAAGCTGTAATCTTATTCATAACGATATGACTGGAACGCGCGTTGAAATGCCTGTGTTCTTAAACCATGCAAGAGGTATCAACGTTGCTTCTTTGTAAAAGAAACATTGTGTAATATGAACTGAAACATACGACTGAAACCGTGAGCGCAAATATAATAACTGATTGCAGATCGTTGATAAGAAGAGCTTTGTTGTAGATAAGAGAACAGCTGTCTATAAGTGTTTAAGGCCACGGAAAGTTGAAAAACAACAAAAGAGCCTTCCACAAATTTTATAGTGTGCTCTGTACTCCTTGCCTACTTTTGTAGTGTACTCTAAATTACTCTCGTGTGAGAAGTGCCCAACAATTCAGGCACTAGAGCAGGTGGCAGATGTCTAAATGAGGTAAGAGTGCAAATGGCTGTATTCGTATTCCATGGTACAAGCCAGAATGACCAAGGGATAAGGAGAAGATTAATGAGATCTAAACCCCACGTCAACTCCTAACCAAGTATCAGCAAGTGCACCTTACACACAGGGTAAATCCCAGCTGACTACCCTTGATATCGATTTCGGTAAAAGGAAAAAAATGCTTTCATTCGATAACTGTGCTGCTCTCTGTCTACGTAGCTCTACGTGCGACAGCGACTGTTAAAGACTACTAATTCTCCAGAGCGTCACGTAGTAATTAACAAAATTATAGGCAACAAGAAACGACGTAATTACAAATCGCACAGGGTAATGAGGCACTTTTTGAAATAACAAAGCGTTCGGTACTGATCAATCTCTAGGGTATGCGCCTTGAATGCGACTTCATCAAACACCGCGGAAGCGACTAGTAGTCTACTGATATGCCAAGTCTGTGCCTTTATCTTCCCAGACAAAGCTAACACGAATTTTTCTACCCCAGGAACAGGAAAGAATTTCCGAGCCGTGGGCACAAGAATGAATCAGCTACAGGTCAAATGTGTATTACAAAGGGCTACTAGCCGTTGAGCTAGAGGCACCCAAGGCACGTTCTGTTCAGGAAGAATTCTCAGAAAAATTGTAGGACAGTGCGTCGGTCAAATTTGTGAACAGCACAGATTTCTATCATTTTTGTTCGTCGTAATATGAGCTTCTTATTTGTGAGAGGTTTTTCAGAAATGTAGAAATTATTAGATGGTTAATGAGAGAAAAGGAGAAAAAACGTAATTTTCCAACCGATAGCAAGCAACGCGATTGATTAAGAAGAGAGGAAAAAAGAAAAATAAAGAGGAAATAACAAAGCAAAACTTCTCAAGAGACCATTTGCTTCCGAGTAGTTTAAATTCGATGAAAATATTATAAGATCCAAAAGTACAGTTGTGCTTAACTAGAGTTGTTATCCTCCATATACAGATCAGATCGGATCCGACCAATGGACAAGAGTCACTGGCAGGGGAAGATTACTAGCCTTAGAAAAAGTGAAAGAGCAATCGTACATCTTGAAAAATGAATTATGCAGTTATATAGATACTAACCACAAGATAAACGCCAAGATTCATACTAAACAAAAACTTGGTGTCTTCACACAAACTTTTTAAGACTAATCTTAAGCTACAGGTAATGTTGAGCAGAAACAAATCGCAGCTCAGTTTATTTTGCGGTCACAGGTGTTTGGTTCACCTTTCCTTGGTTTTGTATCTAGGGAATAACCTATAATAATAAACTTTACCTGCCGTTTTCGCTAAGTTGCACTGGGTGCTACAAGGACTGGGAACAAGTGTTGTGCTTTGGTGCAGTCTTACTTGAAGGTGTCCAACTTAACTACGTATCAGGTTTAATTTTGTGTTAAAATCCTTTGATGGCCACAGACAGAATTTGATGGTAGTAGAACAGCAGGCGGCTTGACGTAGACGCTATTTGATGGACACATCTTTCTCATAAAGAGGGCGCATTGCAATCAGTAGCAGTTTGAACCTGAAACAAAATATGACCCAGATAGCTAAACTTCGTTTTTGTACACAATAGGATGAGCACTTTGAGAATTTGCTTTTTGGTCAAACATTGTTGCAAGACATGAATAACTGCTAAGCAATTCGAAAAGATTCTTCATCATCAACTTTAAGAGCACACTTCTCAAATCTATCTTATTAGTAAAAAGGAATTAGAATCTACACGACTGCTAACAAGATAAAAGTTTGTTTTGCATAATCCATCAAGTTAAGACAGTAGGCTTGTTGTGCCCACGAATCCTACGAAGACGTTTTCAACACTAGCTTGGTTTTGAAGGAATTTTAAAGCACGTAGTTGCTTAACGAAAAGTCGAGTGAGGGCACCAGATGAGGTGTGTTTCGCACACAAATTCTTAACACTCCTACACTTTTCCTGTGAGATATGTGGTTGAGTGACCTCCAGAAAACGCTTTCTGTCTGTGATAAGTCTACTGGGATTAGTGCATCAATAATCCGTGATTTAGTACGGAAAGCAAGAACTATACAAACTACAAGATGCGATGACTGAAGGGCAAAACCGCAATTGTTCTCCGAATAACTTAAAATAATGGCCATCTTTCGTCATCGTCATGAAGATAACGATATGTTTCCGTTGGTAAAGGACTTCCGTCGATTATCAATAAGCCAGCGATATCCCGTTAAAGCAAACGATTATTTCTAGTGCACCATTCATCAGTGTAATGTTTCATGAACACCGTCGGTGCAATGATCACGACTTCGCCAGCGCGTCGAAAAAGGTTTGTAATCTGAGTCGATTCACTAGATAGACGTTGCGCAGAAGCAGTAATTCACAGTAAAGTTATAAAAATCACTTAACAACTAGGACCTATACATCCTCATTCTTTTTTCATCCTACATGACCTGTCTTCAAACGTACTGTGAGTATCCCAGCACATTTTCCATTCGATACGCTTCCTCACATCTATCATCAACGAAAGGTCTTTTTTCTTTTCGCGTGCGAGTTCAGCTGTCGCTTGAGGGTTGTTGTGTTCTTTATAAATTTTGATGGATAACGGTCGAACCGATTCTCCCTGGAACCCTGAAATAACCATGCCAGAGCGTCATCACTAGGATTGAAAAAACCAAGGTGCTACCAGGCAAATCTGCTACTGATTTCCTGAACCTGGGGCGATACTATCCCAAGACTTAATGAGTCCGGTACTGGGCCAAACCAGCACCATGCACGTGATGTACAGCATCACCACTACTGCACAACCTGCCTTCTTCATCACAAAATTTTTCTACTATTTTATTTCATTTTATTTGACCCGTCTTCACATCTGCTGCACGGATCCCAGCGCTTCTTACATTCAATTCGCTTCCTCGCATCGATTGTCCACGAAGATCTTCCAACTTTACATGTGGTTTCGGTTGCTGCCTGAGAATTTTCATTTCATCTTGGTTGTCGTGGAATGTCGGTCGTGCAATTCTCCTTGGAGTCCTGAGAGAGCCGCACTGGAGCGTTCCCAATTGGACTGCAGAGAGCGATTTTTCCCCAGAAAAGTCCGTTACCAATTTCTTGGCCTCGGGAAAATGAGAGGTTTGGTTGGCCCGAAGCGGAATCGAACTAGCACTAGGCTCGTAATGACGGACATCACTACCACTGTGCTATCCGCCCCATCACTATAAATTATTGTTAGTTATTAATAATTAAAATTAAAGAAATGAATTTTGTTCTCTGGAATATAAAATGTTTGACATGAAACTTTGCGCTTTTTGTCGTACAGGAGGAATCAATCTTGTTTTGGGAAGCACAGCTCATGCACAGCCTAATTCATAGAGGTATTATTTAATGGGAATAAATTAATAATATTGTTAATTATATGACCCCTCACCAAAGTTACTGTGTGGATCCCGGTACTTCTTGCATTCGACTTTTTTCCTCACATTCATCGTCCACAAATTTCTCCGAACATTTCGTGTGTTTTTGGCTATTGCTTGCAGATTTCGTCTTCTTTACGAAATTCGTAGAATGCTGGTCGAGTCGATTCTCGATACAATTCTAGATATTATAGCCCAACTGAAGTATTACCACGTGGATTGGAGGAAAGCGCTGGTGATGTGGTCGAACTAACGGCTCGTTTCCTTATGGACTGCATTACCAACCACTACGCTATCGCTCCTAAACGCAACACGTACAGTCCAAAACCATCAGTGGCACTCATGTATCTAACCTCGCAATCGAATAGAACATTGAAAATGTGGAGACGTCAAAAAGGTTGTTAGAGGATTAAAATTTCATAATGTAGGAAAGGATAACGTGATGAACAACTAATTCGAGATCCTGTGCGGAAAGATTGAACTCGAACCAATCAGACCGATGTCGCAACATATAACGGTATCAACATGCTAAATAAGGATCAATTTGAAATTTGGGAGATTATCGAGGAGTAAAATACATCAGCTATCCAACCACATCCTTGCGAGCGTCTTCACTACTTTTTTCATTGTTATTAACACCTCTAGGTTAGTCAACTACACAGTTTGAGGCAGTATAACAAGGTCGTGTAGTGCGACAACGATATGTTTCAATGTAGTCCGTTTCATGCTTATCGGCAGAGCACTACTAAATGACGGTGTTGTATTGCTTAACAATGCAGTGTTTTCGAAAATCTTAATCGAAATGCAGATAGGCATCTAGTACAAAAGAACCCTGCCCATCATAGTGTATGCAGTACACAGATACATTTTGTTTAACTAAGCTAACATCTCAAAGTATGATCAAAAATGGATCGCAGACAGATAATAGTTATCAGGTGAGACTCTTGTTTCATCTTTAAATGGAATAATTATTGGATTAGATATATTCACGTTGAAGAGCGTCTAGAAATAGATGGATGAATGGGGAAGCATTTGCAGCAAAGACGTGGATCGCTACTTCAACGAAGAGCTCTTGAACACTGTCTTCTGAAATATAACCAGCACACCCAATGTCTAGTCCGTCCAGATACTCGAAAGCTATTCCATCTCCGACATCCAGGAGAATGAACAGTGAGAGTGAAAATAGATGGGTCACAAGCGTCATCTGAGATGACCACCAGAGATGATGGTTCAACATGTTTGCGGTTTGCGTCATACAGCTTCATTCGCATCTGAGAACAATTTATGGACCAGACAATAGCCTGCAGACGTCATCATGTTCCAAGCAGACCTAACCATGGACGTCGATTGAGTCAGAAAGACATGAAAGAAAAGATGCTGGGCCTTCCGTCATTCGTGATGGCGGCGGTGAAATGGGCAACAAGTGTTTTCTGCTTGAAAATATTTTTATAGTCAGTGAAAAGTTGTACGTCTTGAATTAAACAGTTACTCCATTATGTAAGCACAGTACAGCGAACTTCTAAAAAAAATCTAATTATAGTAAATGATAAGCTGAATACCACTCGGAGTTATAAAGGGACCACTGTGATTGTAAAAATTTAAAGTTAAATGTGCCATATCCGTTTCAAATTTAGGTAACAGCAACGGAAGAAATCCTTATACAAACACTCTCGAAATTGGGACAAGAACCGATTCAAGTAGGAGCATTCTTCTTGCTGACTGCAATACGATCACTGACTTTCTCAAATGTTTACACAATTTCTGAAACTTGGATGCTAGGTGGTCCTGTGTTTCTTTCCCCTTTAGGAAAAATCCACGCTTAACTACGAGCCTCGAGAATACAGCGTGTTTTTATACTATTTTATAATTTCTACATAACAGAATTTCTCACTTCTTGGAGGCAACAACCCGAACTGGCCACTCGAAGGTGGGCGGGTGGTAGTGATAGCCCAAATGTATCAAAACCTAGCCTAACTCTTCACTTGAACGCAGCAACCATCTGTGAACAAGAGCACGCTGTAGAGTCTCGTGCATTTTCGAAGCACTGAGGAACATAACTGATCAGAAAATGGGATAATGAGGAAGTCATTTAACAATTTTTCAGAGAAAACTACAAATGGATACTTATCTTTGAATGTGATAGGTGTTGTGCCAATGCAACAAGACTGGATTTCGATCCATATTTCCAATGGAATAATTCCCGAGGAGCAAAATGATTTCATAAATGCTCATGATGCTCATGAATGTTTACAAAAAATATCCATGTATTAAATAAGAGGTGGTGAAAAAGGAGCTTGTGCAACCGAAAGCAGCTGCTGTAGCCAGCGTTTGCTTTCTAGTAACTTTTCGTACCTCCTTCTGAGAAATGTATTCCTCTTCAGGAAAATCAGATTCGCGAAACTTACCAACAACTAGTGGACTGTACATCTACTATTGAAAAGGAAATTGAAGTCCAAGAGAGAATTAAAACAAAACAGTTAAATGAGATTTGCTCGGTGAGGAGTTCTTCCGTTTATGAAAGTCTTCGATGTGCATAGGATGGATGGGAATTAGATTCTGATTTACTTGAAACTACGTAACTCATTTCAGCTGTCAGCTCAAATAAGTGAGCTCACCGATCGCGTGGAGAAAGCGCGCTTAAGAGAGAATGAACTCGCTGAAAGGGTCCAGAGATGGGTCGAATATCTAAATCAGGAAAAAGAAAAAGTGCATCGAATGCAGCCAGGTTCTTCACATTCATCACTGACATTCCGATTCTGATTGCAGATGATGGCTCGTGGATCTCGGCTCTACGCTACTGGATCCCTGTCAGCGAATGTTTCCGATGACATTGCGTACAACATCAACATGCTTGTGCAGATGAGACAAAGAGTCAACGATAAACTTCTGGAGATCAAGCGTAGGAAGAAAGAACATAAAGTATATAAACTCCGTTTCAAACGAAAAAAATCAAATATTGTGCTAATTTAATGTTTTTAAACGAGCACTTCACAAGGACCGTTGACTCTAACTGAAAACTACTGCTTAACAATTAGGAACCAATGTGAGTTGATTCCCACTCAAACGGTAAAAAAATATCGGCCACTTTCAAATTTTAGCCAACATATCTGAGCTCGAAGTGAACACTTTTAATTCAAATAAAAGTATTGGGATCTAAAAAGTTTGGTCTATACGATAGCTCTTTTGTTTTACCACGATGGAACTCTGATTTTCCGGGTCCCTCCAAACGAATTTTGTCCATACTGTTTCGTCGCACTCGTATTTCGAAAACGAAAGCAATTGGACAAACTGTATTTCACCCATTAGAACATGAGAATGTCCCCAAATGCGTTATTGATGCTTATAAATGTTGGCTTTAGAAATATTACAACTTCAAAAACCGAATAACAGATATAAGGAACAGTTATTCCATCTGAACAGATAGAGCACGTCTTTTCCAAAAGCCGATCAAGTTTTCGATTTTTTAAATTCTCTAACTATTGATAGTTTATTAGCAGTCCAGGAAAACCACCACGGGGCACTAACTATTAAAAACTCTGATTTCGCTAATAATACAGGAAGAGAATTCCATGGATTTGCTCTAACCGCAACTAACCTTCCCCTAACTTTGAAATTTTTTTAAACATACGTTTAAGACGAACAACTTCCTCCAAGTTTCATTAACACGACCGCCCACCAGTAACGTGTCTATCTCCTCGATTAATGGTTACTTCAATATTCAATAACGTAGCACAAAATAATACCTCCCAATGGTTTACCGCCTCATTGTGGCTGGGAGGCGCTCCTAGGTGCCGGGCTGCGATGTTCAACGGGAGGATACATCTCATGGCAGGGTCTCCCAAGCTGAGAAGGAGTCCGGCGCTCCCGTCAGGAAGCCCAGCTTAGGTTAAACCAATACCAAGATCCGCGACAGTCTTGATGTCAAATAAGTCGCATAGTGGCAAATCTCCCTCTGATCCACAAGAGCAGCGACTGGCTGTGATGTCAACGACCCGGGGCAGAATTTGGCCAGGCTGACCTCGAGATTCCAGGGAACCACAATAACTTAACCAGCAAATCTCCGAAATATGGAGATTGCGCTGGGGCTCGCACAACCACTTAGGATGGACCATTCAACTATCAAGTAAGTAAGAACAAAATGTGTTCCTAAAGTGTTGATGACGTTTCTTGCCATCGAGGTGTATGAGGATAAAGATAAAAAGCATTACACGTATACAAGACGTTCGGATGGAGTTAGGTACAAAGCCCATTTAACAGTAGGCTTCATGGGTAGTAATGAAACTTTTGTACTGAGAAGAAAATACTTCAGCAATTAGAACAATCCAAAATTGTAAGAGGCTGGACGTCAGTGAAATCTCACATGTTTCAAAAAACAAAGAGATGATTCTCCAAGAAGAACATGCTGGGCACTTTTCAGAATCAGCTACGTCAGCTCAAAATTGAGATGCTGAATATGCATGGCGAGTTGGAGGAATGGGATAAGAAATACGACGAAATCCAAGAAGTGACCCAACGGATGGAGATAACTCGCCTGCAACTACTGGAAAGGATCAAGGAGCAGCTGCAAAAAGAAACAGCAGCTAAGGTTCGCAAAACAAGAAAAAATAAGGGTGTCTGCTACATAGAGCTATTTCAACAGCGATACTTTTCGCAGTATCGGAGACGAAGACGAATCTCCTAAGAAGTCAAAAGGTCCATGCGTCTCATCATTAGTGGAAATTCACCACTTCGAAGGTCTTCAATTTTGCAGTCTAGAATATTCTGTAGTTCCTCAGATTGTATCTTTAACGGTGCGTGTCAGGTACTGAAAGGAATTCTCGTTTTCGTAGGGAAATAAGGACTAATGTGCAATATTTGGCAATTTCCCTAGGTAGGAAACCATACAGATTTTGGGATGACTTTGGCTAGGTTGACCTCGAGACTCCAGGGAGCCATGGTAGCTAAACCAGCAAAACTCCAAAAAAATGGAAATTATGGTGGGACCTCCATAATCAGTGAAGACGGGCCATCCAAATAACCAAATAAGTGGGAAAACCATAAAAGCGTAGTTAATTTTGTGTTACGTAAATCTAAGTTAGTTTTGCAACCATAACGATGAAATCTTGTAAAAAAAAGAAGTAAATTGAATTGAACATAACGCTTCAGTTGTTCAACTTAGTGATGTATGTGGATAGACATGTAGGCAAAAATCTTTATCCAGATGTAGCACTCTCTTCTTACTCGGTGAGACTTTGGTTTGAGTTGAACTTTTCCAGCTCACATGTATCCAGCTCGATAAGAAACTGCATGAACTCTGCGGAAACCTCAAATCGAATGAGCACACGGTGAATACAACACTAAATTCAAATAATACCAGAAAAGTCAGTCTCTGTACCCAGCTAAGAAGCAATTACAGGTGGATAGTGATGACCAAACTATGAAGAATCAGCTTTCGATGACTGAAACATCGGAGAGTCAAGACGTATGGTTCTCGTGCAGGACTTTCTCACAGATGTGGAACCCCCAGAGCATTTTTTTTCAGGGGGATTCACTAGCCGGTATGATACGAGCTGGCAAACGAATGCAGTTGTGAATTCTCGAAAAGATGTCTATAATATAAAATTAGTTTTAAGGACTACAGTGGTACGGCGGGAATAAAGTTCATTGCTATTCACGTTTTCAGATGTCACTTGGCGCTTTTTTACAGTATGCAGTCACTCTTACATAGTTTAGCAAATATGGTGACGTGATATCGAACTGAAAACGGCTTCTGCCATATTTCGAAAAAAAATGGAACTCCTAGCTAAAAAGGACCTTTCGATTTGAGAAAGAAATCGTGAGCATGAAAACTGGATAAATCCTGCGCTAAAATCAAAAACTTCTGCAAAAAAAATTATTTAATGTTTCACTTTAATAAGTTTCAAGACCTCTGATTACACTAAGACGGAAGTGCTCATGGGTACCTTGGAATAGCACTGGATCCTTGCTAGGTCCGACCTCAAAGCGTGTGTATAAGACCATTCCGCGGTTGCAACTATGCAACTAAGATATACTGCAAAAAAACCAGTTAGAAATGATTTGGACTTTCTACGTCGCATGAAACGACGAACATACTCGTACACTTCAACTAGGCGCATTTATGCTAGGCACGTTTTTTCCTGCCTTCGCATCTTCTCGTGGCATATCATATATGATCCATGCGTCAGAGCACTTTAGCCAGCTTGAGTCACATATGATTCATTTAGTTTTCGGTTCCTTCTTTACTTGGTATGTCTGTCTCGCCGTTAATTTGGCCGTTCATACATTAAACTGTGGCGAAAAATCGGGCACCATAGCGACTGGGTTAACGTTTGGTTCAGGAGCCTGAATAATACAGCGTGATGCCAGAAGCATTCTGTTTTGTCCGAGACGAGAAGAACCAGAGTTTCGACGTCTAGGGTCGAACATGAGTCGCAAACACACATATTCCAATTGATTATGTCCAAGATGAGGTAAGTAAGAAACATGATATCCCTGGACGGTAACTACCATACGAAAGACAACAGCGATCGCGTTTTGTAAGAGGTAAACTGTCCCTAACAGAAACGCTACCATTTTGGTGGTAAGAGTTCTTAGTATAATTCAAAATGAAGAGCACAACGCTCATTGTGTCACCTAAGTAGAACAGAATGGTCAACCTCGGCATATGAGACATAAGAATGAAGAGTTAACAGCCGTTACAAATCTTAATAATACGTCACGCACTATTCTTTCCAATTTCGGTTGGCTCACGTGATCATTTAATACAACCTTAGCGAAATTGGTTCTCACAGCATAACACAGGTCTTCACAATCGTTATGCTTCAAACTTTCCATTACTTGGTAGCTCTTTTTCCTTCAGCATTCTCTTACAACAGATTACCACATGATGACCACCTCTATACTTACTGCAGGAGGTGTTCCTGGGTGTCGGGATGCGATCTACAGCGGGGGATTCATCTCCCTGGCAGGGTCTCCCAAGATGAGAACGAATTCGGCGTTTCCACCAAGATGCCTAGCTAAGAGTAGACCAGTACCAGGATCCACCAACGTCCTGATATCAAACTTGTCGCATGGCGACTAACCACTCTCTGATCCACAACGGCGGTAATTGCTTGTGGTTGTGACGAGCTGGGGCAGACTAGCCTGGGTGACCTCGAGACTCAAGGAAACCACAGGGGCTATGGCTTGGCCAGCAAAACTCTAAAAAAGTGGAAATTATGATGGGGCCAGCACAACCACTGAGGACAAACCAACTAATTATCGAAGTATCTAAGTACTCTAGGTCCTCTTCAGTTAATGTGGTACGGACAAAACGGAATCATTGTTAAGAGCGTTTAAAACCGAGGATCGGAGGGCACTTTTACCTAGTAGACTTCCTGTCACTTAAAGAGGAGTCTACCTCAAAATTTGATGAGAACACTGGTCGAGCACGGCATTAAAGTCATCGATCTGAGTCTCTAACTTTTCGATTCTGCTCTCCCGACAAATGTAGACTCTGAAACCAACATACTTGATACTTGAACCGCCCGTTCTCACTGGTTGTGCGGGCTCCAGCGTAATCTCCATTTTTCACAGATTTGTTGGTCAAGCCATTTTGGTCCCTTGGAATCCCGAGGTTAGCCTTGCCAAGGTCTGGCACAGGTTTTCACCGCCACAGGCAGTCGCATCCTTTGAGGATTAGAGGGAGATTTCCCACCATGCGACTTTGACACCAAGGCGATGGCGGATCCTGGTATGTATTGGTTAACATTTAGCTAGGTTTCCTGATGGAAACGCCGGACTCTTTCTCTACTTGGGACGCCCTGCCATGAAGACGAATCCCCCCGCTGTACATTGTACCCCCACACCTAGGAACACCTCCCATCCACGATGTAGCAGTAAACCGTTGGGAGGCTAAAACCAAGACCTGATAATTTGTTTACAAAAAGCGAATTTTCATGCAGTACATCGGCTTAATACTAAGTAATGTGAAAGGAATTAAACGTCGTTATTGATAGGGATGAAAGAACAAGATGCAACGCACGTGTGTACATCCCTTGCCTATGCTTCGTTCTAAACTTGATGTGTCTTTGAAACATATAGAGGTAATCCCGCATGAAGTACATGAAGTAGTAAAGGCAATTTATTAAAAAATAAACCAACAACAATCTTACTTTTCTGAGATGAATGAAAGAAAACCGGGACGACCCCGTATCTGACCACTGATCATGGCCATCTAACATCACCCTAAAGTGAACCTCGCCATGAGTTACCTATTACAAAAAGCTGTGACTGTCCACACTTTTCACGCGATTTGCAAAAAGAAAAATGAAAAACAGAACATGAGAAAAGAGGAAAACCGAACCCTGGGAAAAAAACAGACTTCCTTACGTTCTTCCCTATTCAGATACATCATATTCAAAAAAATAACAAAACAATACAATGAACGAAACATACTACTAAGTACTACTGAACAGAGGACTGCAACCAATAGGGAGACAGCAAAGAACGTCAAAAAGTGCAACGCACCGCTAAACTTAACAGTAGGACAAAATCATCATCAACATCGTCGAGACCACTGACATGCTATAAAAAGGTGTACAAATCTCGTCCAAGGACGAAACAACAGCATATGTGGCATACACTGAGACATCTACAGCAAAGATAGCAAACAGAGTAAACTAACCGGATTAGGAAAACTTAACAAAAGCTAAGAAAACGGTGAGAAATTTAAAGCTCGTACAACTTTTGCTAGCAAAATGCATTACTAGCGGGCAGTCGTAGCAGTTGCTTCCTTATTTGGAATCATTATGCGTGGTTTTACCATTGATGAAGTACGCACTGAAGAATCCTTATGCACCTCGTATCTAAAAACTCATATCCGTAGTGCGAAAACGGTGACGAAACTCAACAGCAAAACTCTCCAAAACAACTACCTCAGAGGTTCCGAATCTGGGATATCCAGTTTCGCCTTGAGCACGAGTCCAATGCGGGTATTCACATCGTCACGAGAAGCGTCACGGGTCCATAGCGAAACCTGAGCATATATAATATTACATCAGAAATTTCTCATAAAATTACAAATGACTTGAAAACGGACTACCACTGAACGGTGAATACAAAGATACCAAATTTTAAACATGTATAAGATCAAATTTTAAACTGATATTAAAAAAGAAACAAATGAACTAGTGAGACCACACGTATATTGCTAAGATTAAAGACAGGTATTTAGTCTCAACAATCGTATGAACACGTGCCTTCACATTTCTTGTTAAAATTTGTCTATTCAACCAACTTCAAATCCTTCAAGAACGACCAAGGTAAGAAAAAACTGTAAACCAATCAATACTATGGCGTCACCAGAAAATACAACGCTACGTGAATTAACAGGAAGTCCTAGCGAAACGATAACACCCCTACGGCTAGGTACCATTGGATCGAGTATCACACTTAGTTAGAACATAACCTCTTTAACAAAAAAAAAATAAAGATAAAGCTCTCAGTTGATGAATCCATAAGAGGTGCGCCATGCATTCTACTTCATTAAACATTGCTAGAGATGATTAAATGCGTATTAGGGCTTTACAATGACTCGCCGTGGCCTACCGATGTGTCGAGTCAGCAGTGCCATACTCCCACACAACTCTGGTACCAAATGACCGAGTCGGAAGTGATGGAAAGCTTCGTGACCCTTGGGCGCGGGGATTCATGTGTATTGCAGGGCGCCTCCGACCACTGTTTCACCTTTTAATGGTCGAAATGTTAAAATCCTAATGCTGAACATTTGCACTTTCATTTTATCGAACTGGCACTTCTGATTAGAGAAGGAAAATCTAGACTCATAAATCCAGAGAATTCAAAAATGGAACACATGGTTAATGGTGTAAGGAAGATTGAGCAGTGCTAAGAGCTGCATCTTTCAACACCACAGTACCCACCACAACCCAGAAAAGGTCCCTCGTCCAATAGAATTAGTACATCTTACTTACACTAATGACTTGTCAATGAATATAGAAAACCTCGTTGATGCGACCTATTCTATATCAGGATTATAGTATTTTAAAACAATGTTGCGTCACAATGTTAACTTTTTGTTTTCTTCCTATCCTAGCTTCTCACGGCAGACTAGATAGAAAGCACGGCCGAGAGACAGGCGAAAAGAAGGACTCGCGTGGCGTAGTGAACGCGTTAATCCCCGGAAATGGTAATAGTGCGTTCGTTCCCCACCGCTGATATTAGTGGCACGGAGTTTTGAAAATACCTCAGCATCAATAATACTGCATTACTTCAAATAATCGTTACTTGCTATGAAAAAGGAATTCAAAGCAACCCAAATTCTCTTTATGTATTTATTATCTCTAGTACTTGTTCCGCGAAACGCGCACAAACCTTATCTCCTTTTTGCCGCACGTTGACCACGGCGCCGCATATATATTCACCCAAATCTTCAAACTGTTCACCGACGATTGCCATCAGGAGCTCGAGCCAGTAATAATCAAGCAGCTGAGTGCGTCGCTTAAAAGAAAAACACTAAAAGAGAAACAAAAACATCCCAAACCTTGCACATACAAGTAATTACGGGTTGAGCGTATCTCCTGTATTCACATCTACTTACTGTATAAGATCCGAATCCATTTACAACGTTAAGACTTCAACGACTTCAAGGACAATTCGTACACGTAGCTGCTACATGTCACCGTACATGCCGTGACTTTACGATTCTGACCAGAAGCCTTATGGATGCAAAAAAATGTGTGCTTCGACGGATCACCTATTTAATCGATAGACCGTTTGAAAAAAGGGGTTTGTGGTGTTTTACACTTTACTGTACATCCCCATTTACAAGTAACCATACTCTTGACGAACAGACAAGAAGTTATTTTCATACTATTTACTAACGATAGCTAACAATTCGATGGATTTCACCTTCTTCAGAACCTGGAAAGGTCACGTTGATGTGCATCTTAATCAGACAAACAGTTCCACAACTCGAGTAGAAGAACTCAGCACCTAAATTTCGATTGCTTTAGAAACAGCTTCCCCATCCAATTACGGTTTTCTACAAGTAATCCACTTATTCTGATTGTCGAGGAAAACCAAATGCAGAGAGTTTACACAGGTGGGTAATATGTCTCTCTTACGCCTAAAGGTCAGTCTGAGATATTGTACGAAGTCAGCGTGACAACAAGGCATTCTTCCCTGCAGCTCATCTTCCATCTTTTGGATGATTCACTGAGAATATTCAACGCCTGAAGCTTTTTAACATGGGAATGGGATTTAGGCCCACGATTTCTTAGCTGGAGTGACGGAAGTATCTGACTGACTATATTGCACATCAAGCTGACATTCCCAAGCTTTGAAGACGGCAAAATCCGCTGGAACGTTAACTACTGTGAACAAATGGCATAGTGACAACCTCATTTCTGTTCGTCAAGAATACAGCAGAATATTGATCAATTCAAGGAAAAGTCGGCCTTAGGGATCGATATAGTTAAGGAAGGAATAAATATGTAAAACACAGCAAATATATTTGCAAAACTGTGGAAGCGACCGTGAAAAGCAAGATACATGAAGTCACGTCACCCTTTCGGATTTTAAATATTTCAGGAACATTTTCCTCAATTAATCTACAGAATTCTTCAGATCCAGTTATGTAACTCAAGAGATTTTAGACCTCACCTGTTTGTCAACAACAACAAGCCAACGACCACCCTTAACATTACTGTCGTCTTCCCACATCGGCTTGATGCCCTGCAGATTGAGCATAGTAAAAGGACATGTACGTTGGTTAAATCTGCGCCGAAATATAATACTTAGAGAAACAGGCCTCTTTGAACAAGTAATAGTCAGAGCCCCAATTAAGACCGCTTGCTGTCTGTATATGGTTGTAGAGCGCCCAAAAATCCTCGACAGTGTCGAAGAGGGAAACCATCTGAATATAAAACATTTCTTCAAGTTTTTGCGATTATTTAGAGCTTTTATGCCTCTTTTATTTGCAAAATGTTTATAATGAATGATAACGGACAAACTATGCGAAATTCTGCATGGATGTATGCTACATAGTGGATGAAGAACTTCACTTCCCTTCTAAACGTAAGCTAGATCTTGTCTTTGAGTATGGATTCAGCTGAGGTGTTTCACAAAACAAGTATTCAGATACACCTCACAAAAAAGAAGTTTGCAAAAGTCCCTTCAAACTGCTTCAATAAGATTCCAGGAACTAAACCTTTAAACAATCCTCCCATTCCTTGTTTCGATCTGCTTTCAAATACCACAAAGCCCATCTTGATTGAAGCGGATGACGTACAAGCAGCTCTTTCGGAGGACCAACGGCAGAATCTCCAGCACCGGTATGCTAAAATCATACAACACTGCCATATTTACAAGTGAAAACTCAAAAAAACCAAACCACGATGAAAATGACTTAAGCTTCCTGTACAGCACATATAACTTCATGAGCTACAAGAATATTTTAAGTTACAAGCATAACGATGCTGTAGGTAGAAAACTACTTGAATACTTGGACAGCCCGTCCTCACTGGTTGTGCGGGCCCCAGCGCAGTCTCCATTTTTCGGAGTTTTGATAGTTTAGGCATGGTGTTTCTCTGGAGTGACGGGTTCAGCTCGGCCAGTCTCCCCAGGTCGTCATCACCACAGGCAGTCGCCGCGTTTGTGGATCGGAGAGTGATTTGCCACCATGCGATTAGTTTGATACAAAGCGGTGGTGGTTTCTGGTATTGGTTAGCTCTTAGCTGGGCTTCTGAGTTGAAATGCTAGACTCCTTCTCAGCTTGGGCGACCCTGCTGGTGGATGAATACCTCGCTGTACATTGTACATTGTAGCCCGACACCGAGGAACACCTCCCAGCCACTATGAGGCGGTAAACCGTTGAGAGAGGTAGAAAACTAGCCGAGAAAAATGCAAAGCGAGGGCCTCAGTGGTGAAGTGCGTGGTATGCGAACCCCTGGAAATGGTAATCGTGGTTCGATTTGGCCCTGGGTCGAAGTTTTACGAATATCACAGCATCGTTGTGGCTGTATTTCACATCATCCCCTACCGTGAAAAATCATAGTAAGCAGCAAATAAAAGCTTGACAACAAGACTTACAGTCTCTTCCACCTGTTCATTTTCCTGTCCTGAAGCAGTGCTGTCTTCAGAGGCCATACTACTAAACACAAGCTACATCATGAACATCAATTACCAAGTATGTGCGAAAAGACGGGCATGTCGAGCAATTTGTACTAGGGGGACAACAATATATAGCATACTTACGAGGAAAGCAATACGAAGCTGAACAACAACCACAAACCAGGCCTAAACCCCTAGTTCGCAAAAATCGAGGCCCAGAGACGGCATCCGGCAAAAAGTAGAAGCGTCCTCAACACTATCGTTTCAGGACCTCGTCCACCCCTCAACCAGTAATCAGCAATGGAGCGCAGTAGTTCATGTGCTTTCCTTTGCAGTCATTACTACTAGTCCTTTTTGTTCGTCCATTTGCTAAATACTGGTGAACTCGAGAAATTTTCAAGAAACCGGAGCTTTTCTTATGTTTGACTTAGACAGGAATTGTTCAATACCTCTTTTGGTACAGCAAGGGTATAAAACGGCGTCGATTTTTGGGAGAATAAAACTGATAAGGGTTTTGAGCCACCCAACTGTTATGAGATGAATAGGGTTTACATTGTGGGGTAGGAAAACTCATGAAGAAACTGGTAGTAAAATGTCGCTGGGGTTTGTCGTTGCTGGTTAGATGCTGCTACACCACATTGCTCTTAGGCTGTTCGCCGTGATAGAAGTCGATACCTCACGGATTCGTCAGGGCGGAATAGTTTAGAGCGGTATAGATATGGATAGTATGAAGATATAGAGAGATAGTTAGTGTGAATAGCAAAGTAAAGACCCTGTTCTATGCAAGTTCAAGGCGCTCTGTTGCCATGAATCACGTATCCACGAATTCGTCGCGGGAATCCAAATCGGTGAAGAATCAAAACGCTTTCTCTGTGTGCTTTTCACTACCAATTTCTTATACTCAAAGAACTTTCCAAAAGTTTACCGCCCCGTCCTGGCTGGGAGATGTTCCTGGGTGTCACGCTGCAATATACAGCGGTGGGATTCATCCCGCCCAGCAGGGTCTCCGAAGCTGAGGAGCACGGTGTTTCCATAGGAAGCCCAGCTGAGGTTAAACCAACACCAAGATCCACGACAGTCTTGATGACAAACAAGTCGCATAGTGGCAAATCTCACTCTGATTCAGAAGGGTTGTGACTGCCTGTGGTGGTGATGACCTGGGACAGACTTTGGCTAGGCTAACCTCTGGACTCCAGGGAAACACAATGGCCAGAACAGCAAAGCTCCGGAAAAATGAAAATTATGCTGGGGCCACAACCATTGAAAACCACAAAAGTAAGAGTCCATGTACGATGGCCCGTCTTGACTAGTTGTGCAGACCTCAGCATAATTTCCATTCTCAGGAGATTTGCTAGTTTAACTATTGTTGTTCCCAAAAGTCACGAGGAATGCCTAGCTTGAACTGCTTGCAAGCAACTGAGGGAGAATTGAGTGCGATTTGTCATCCTAATATGTTTTAAATATAGCGATATGGGAAATTTAAGGTAGAATAGCGCGCATTTATTGGAGCAGTTATGGGAGTGAATCTTATCTCTACGTCATCTCACTCGCTGATCCAAGAATTTGCTCAGTTCCTGGCCAGTTAGACAATGTATAAGTGGCTGAGTGTGCATGGTAGTCTGAAGCCCTTGGAACAGAAGATGCGTGAGAACTCGGTGAGGAATTCTGAGGTTTCTTCAGTGAAATTTCAAATTTCAATAAAAGCGAACCGCAGAAAGACCGGTTCTCTACGGCTGACGAATGTTGGCTCGATAAGTGTAGATATTCCGATTAAGCCAAATGCATCAGAGAGTGGAGCAATGGACTAATGACATTACTTATTTGGAAACTTGGACGGTACGTCTTCACGACCTGTGCGGACTCTAACACATATGCCATTCGTTCCTTTCTCTCACTGTCGTAGTCCATGGTGGTGGTCTTGTTCGAGCATGGTAGCAATTGCAAATCTCATACCGTGATCTGTTAAACAACTGCAGCTGCGGGTACAGCTGATTAACTTTGTTTACGAACACGTCCGCCCAACGTGTAGGTCGTCCAAGAGGACGTTTGTATTCCCACTCTACTGTTCTTTTCTCTACTGTTCTTTTCGTCCGTCTGTTGTCTGTTCTTCTCATTATGTGACCGGCCCATTTATGTTTCGCTGTCGACGTATAATCTCCTGGATCTCCAAGATATGAGATTTCGAAGGTCAGATCCTCGCATATCGGCTATATATTGAGAGTACCGGTTATATTTCAGAAGACATCGCTCAAGCGCTCTGTGAGTAGTTCGAAGCATTCTTGACGTAGCTGAAGTATCAACCCACATCTCTGCAGCATAACAGAGCGCTAGGAAGACCGTAGAATCAAAGAGATGAGCTCGGATTTTGGGGCCCTTTAGTTGGTCGGTGGCTTCTTTGAAAGGCTCGAATGCGGTCCAAGCTGCTCTCCTACTTCTATCCAATTCCTCCATTATGTTGTTTTCCATGTTCATTGATCGCCCAAGGTAAACGTACGAGGCGGTTTCTGCAATGAGAGAGCCATCCAGTTCAATTTTTTCGCCTTCGCACCATGGCTTTTTCATGAACTGGGTCTTCTTTCGATTTGTGCGAAGTCCGATCTTATCCCTCTCTTCGTTGAGCTCGTTGATCATCACTTCTGTTTCGCTAGTACTTCTTGAGAAGATGACAATGTCGTCGGCAAAGCGAAGGTTTGATAGAAATTTTCCATCAATACGAATGCCTTTCTCATCCCAATCGAGTGACTTCATTATCCACTACAGTGCAGCACTGAACAGCTTTGGCGATATTGTGTCGCCCTGTCGAACCCCTTTTCCTATGGATATGGTAAGAGGTCGATGGAAAAGCTGTATTTTCGTAGTGCAGTCCGATAATAGTCGGACAGAGTCCTTATGTAGGTCGGCTCCTCTCCTTGGTCGATGAGCTCTGATAGGATTGCATTCGTTTCGACACTGTCAAACGCTTTCTCATAGTCGACAAAGGCTAGGACTAGAGGCAAATGGTATTCCCGACAAACCTCGATGACCCTGGACACGGTTTGGATGTGGTCCATGCAGCAAAATCCTTTTCGAAATCCTGCTTGCTCGACTGGTTGCGCCTCATCCAGTGTCCTTGATATGCGCGAGAGAATAATCTTAGTGAAGAGCTTGTAGAGTACACTTAAGAAGCACATGGGACGATAGTTAGGAAGATCCCGTCGGTCTCCTTTCTTGGGCAGGATGACCGTGCGCGAGGTCCTCCACTTGTCTAGGATTTTTTCTTTTTGGAGGTAGGCTGTCACATGATTTGAGAGAAGTACATGTGAATTGTGGCCTGCAGCTCTAAGAAAATCGGTGGTAATATTGTCTGGTCCTGGAGCTGTGCCTCTTTTCATGTTTTCTATTGCAACTGCAACCCCCGGCGGTAGACTTTCAGGTGATTTTTCTCCAGCGGGGATATTAGGGCACGGGACAGGGATTGTGGAACGAAAAAGATTGGTGTAGAACGTTTCCGCTATGAATTCCATATCTTGGCGGGAAGTTTTGACGATCCCATCTTCATTCATCAGGGCTGACAGCGGAACATTGTAATCACAGAAGTCCCGACGGCATTTTTTCAGACTGCTTCTTTTTTCAGCTGCTTCCAGTAGTTTACTGCTTGTACCGTTGTAGATCTTTCTACAAAGCTCTTCTGGAGCTGGCATTTATTGCTAGATATGTTAAACGTGCTGCACTAGGATCAAGCTCTAGTTTCCTTCTCTTTTCGAGCAACTCCTTAGTACTGATGGAGATGCGATCCGATCTTCTTGCTTGAGGAACTAAGGGGAATTCGGCACAGCTTTTCAGTCCTTCAACAAGGAGCTCGTAACATCTTCGGTCGGGTCTTCTTTAATCGACCAGTCACGTTAGGAGAGGACTTCGTTTAAAATGCTCTCGTCGTATACAGCTATACTTTTTCCTTGTGGTCGATGAAGAGAGTTCTTTTCCAGCTTGTGGCTAAATCGAATCTTCGTGCGAAGAAGACGGTGATCGGAATCAGCACAGAATGACGGGACTACCGATGTGTCAAGTAGGCACCATCTTCTGTTTATCAGAATATGGTCGATCTCCTCATGAGTCATGCCGTTGGAAGACTATCATGTTCAGTGGCTGCGTTCTTTCTTCTGGAAAAACGAGTTTCCATGGAAGAGACGTGCTGCTGACAGGAGTCCTACGAGACGGTTTCTATTCCCACTTCTTTCTCCTAATCCAAAATTTCCGATCCTGTATTCGCTCTCGTTGGCCTTTCCTATTCTGGCGTTGAAGTCTCCAACAACAAATTTATGACATGCTTTATCATTGCGGATGACTTCCAACTGAAACGCATTTAATTCGTACTCATCAGCTGCGTCGGTCGGTGAGTAGCAGTTGATGATAGTGATCTTCCTATGATGCGACAGCTGCAGGCAGAGGACGGCTATGCAAGGGGAAAGGATCACGTATGAGTCGACGAGATGGACAATGGACGGGTGGACGACAAAGCCTACTCCACCGACATTTCGTGACGGGACCTTTTCTCCACGGATCACAAGGGTCGCGTTGTTTAGTTGGCGTATGTCGGTCTTCTTGTTTTTTGTTTCTTGTAATACGATCACATGAAATTTAATGCGATCTGCGGCTACAAGAAGGGAGTGAAGATCGGCGTCTGTGGAGAGTGTTCTGGCATTATATGTGCGTAGTAAGAAACAATCTCCATGGCGTGTCATGCGTGTGTTCGTCAGATCCGTTTCCAATGACGTCCTGCGTAGCCCGAGATTTTCTAGCCTCTCAACGGTCGTCTCACCGCCTGACGTCATAGAAAGGAGCACCCATTGTGCGGGGTACTGAGGCTGGCTTATTGCTGGTCGTGCAATTTGGTCCTCCCTGGAGTCCTGACGTAACCTTGCAACGGCGTAACCAGGTCTTCATCACGATGTGGATCAGAAGGAGGGAATGACATTAATAAATACAATGTAGTCTAGGTATACAAAAGAAGGACGATTTCTAAGGAGTAGACATAGTCCATTTCTGGAGGCTTAAACATAATGAAGAAAACACGTAAGAGGATAAAGAATAAAGCTCTCGGCGTTGATCAATCCCTTAGGGATGGATACACCGTGCATTCGACTTTAGTAAGCATCGTTTGGAGGTGATTGACTGCATATCTGGAGTTTACAATGACTTGTGATGGCCTACCGATGTATCGAACTATCCTTCCAAACAAGCCTGTTACCAATTTGCCGACCCAGGAGGGATGGAAGGCTTGGTGGGCCAGGAGCGCCGGGATCGATTCCACACGTGTGTTGCAGGAGACCTCTGACCACTGCGCCACACGCGCCCATTAAAATTACACGTAGATGTCGTTAATCCCG